CCTTATTATTTTTTCAATTGTGACCTCTATGTGACCAAATTTAAATTTGTCAGTTTTCATATAGCTTTAACTCTTTTTTTTTTTGAAAAAAAAATTTGTAGTATATATTGCCTCCTTGCAATTTTAGTTTACAAACTTTTGTAGGGTAGTTATTTTCAGGTACCTGTTACAGGTGGCAACCCTGTAAACGGCCACGGCCAAAGAAAGAATTTAATTTCAGGCCATAATTTTTTTTTTTTTTTTAATTTATATTTAATGTATAACTCATAATTTCAAGGTCTGTATTATGATATATTGTTTTTGAATTTAAAGTGATTTAAAACTTGTAAAAAAAAAATATAATTTTAAATTAATTTTGCTTTGTTTTTATAAAATGAAAGTCATTGTTCTTATTTTGAATCAATTACATCACAGTGGTTAAGAGTTTATTATTGTTTGTTACAAATTGCAACTATGAAAAACAACAACAAATTATGTGGAAGAGTATTTGAAATATTATGTTTTAAATTTTTAACTGGGATGACTTTTATTTACTAAAAGTATTTTTTTTTAAAATTTCTTCTTTTTTTCATTTAAAAATGATTATTTAATTTATTTATAAGTCCATGCAACTGAAAGGTATGTTTACGAATAATTAATTAAATTTATTTATTTTACAGATCATGGCTGAGGAAAGTCAAGTTGCAGATTATTTTGTCGTGGCTGGACTGCCTGATGATCCAAAGCCTATGGACGATTACACTGATGGTACTCATTTAAAACAGAATCAAAGGTATTTAATTTAATGTCTCAAATGATTTCAAATACAAATATTTACACCCACTTTATGTGCTAATTTATTCCTCATAAATTGTACCAAATCGATATTTTTATTACAAGTATCAAAGATTAATAATAAACTTTTGTTTTTAAATCTTCAAGTAATTAAAACAGCTATATTTTTTATTATTTAGTTTAGCACCTATAACAGACATAACAGTTATTTTTCCATCTCTGGGTGAGATTTGCCCAGAAGGATGGCAAGTTCTAGATCACACACCCACAGGATTGATGGCTGATTTAAATTATGGGAGTTTGCATAGTCCAGAAGCCTACATATGTTATAAAAGAGGAAGGCGTAAACCTCCTTTAGTGGATATAGGGTTAATAAATTATTTACTTTATGATGATTAATCCTATGCAGAGTACATTTACTAAAGTAAATTTTTTTTTATTTTTTAGAATTTTATATGAAAATAAAGATAGAATATTACCAGATAGTGAAATAGTATTAAAAACACCATATGACAGAATAGCGAATGTGAGTAATGCAAATTCTAGAACTTTTTTAACATATAGAAGAGCTAAATATGATATGCCTGCCAATGAATTAGTTGTTACAAATATATGTGTAATTATAACGAGTAAAGGAGAGAAAGCACCTCATGCTTTTTGTGTCATTAAAAAAAATTTAAATAAAGGAGTAGTGAGTATATGTACATATGTATATATTCATCATTTTTTTTTTTTATATATACATTTTTGTAATATTAATTTGTTTTTACATTTAGTTTGCACAAGATGTTTACCTTTGTTATAAAAAATCCATGAATAGAGCTAATTTAATATCTTACAAACCTGGAATTTTATGTCGATATCCCATGTGGGATAGGCCTGACTGGAAATTACATTCAAACGTTCCATTATTTTGTTTACCAATGGGAGCAACATTAGAAGTTTGGGCTCCTGAAGCATCTCAGCCTGCTCCAGTTTTTTCAACGTTTGTTTTAACAGTATCCGATGCAGCAGAAAAAGTATTTTTACATTTGCAAAACTTTTAAATTATTTAAAAAACTTTTTTTTCATATTTTTAAATTTTTTTTCAATTTGCTAATAGATATATGGTTCTGCCATAACTTTTTATGAAAGATATCCAGTGGAAAAATTAACAGAAGAGCAAATAGCCGTCCTAGAAAAATCATTGGAAAGTGAAAAATCAATTTTCAATTCGGATTTGAGTTCAGCGTCGTCTGAAAAAAGTTTCGATTCAAAAGATGAGAGTCCAAATGAAAACGCATCCGAGGGAAATTTGTCGACATCTCGACGTAGCGTAATATCCGGATCTCACACATTCAATGTTAACAAATGTATATGCTTGTTAAGTCACTGGCCTTTTTTTGATACTTTTGAAAAATTTTTAAGATTTTTATACGAATTGTCGACTACGGGTCCGCACTCGGTGCCCATAGAACGGTAATTAATTTTTATATTTTATTATTAGAGCAACGATGAGTTTTAATTCATTTTAAAAATTACCTTTTTTTTTTTTTTTTTTTGTTTTTTTTTCTCAGTTACATTTCAAATTTTTTGGAAAATGTTCCGTTTCCGTCTCCGCAGAGACCTCGGATTCTCGTACAATTGTCAGCAAAAAGTAAAGTAGTATTATATCAACCAGAGGATATTCCATTACCAAGAAGGTACAACAATAACTTTGGTATTTTATTCATTGAAACAATTTAATTTAACTTAATTTTTTTTGTTTTTGGTTCAGTGGAGCTGGATTTCGAGAGCTTTTATCAAATTTAAATTCGGAAGATTATTTGTTGGTATTGTTATTAATTTTAACGGAACATAAAATTTTAGTACATTCATTGCGACCTAATGTTCTCACATCCGTAGTCGAAGCTCTTTCGATGGTATGAAAATAAATAAATGTTTTTTCGTCTCGATGGAGACATTTATTTAAAAAAAAAGTATTTTTTTTTTGTTTAGATAATGTTTCCGTTCAAGTGGCAATGCCCTTACATACCACTTTGTCCATTAGGTCTTGCCGAAGTTCTTCATGCTCCGGTACCATTTTTAATAGGTGTCGATTCAAGGTTTTTCGATATGTACGATCCACCATCGGATGTTACATGTATAGATTTAGATACTAATAATATAACTCTGTGAGTATTTCTAAGGGTTTTTTTTTCTTTATATCTTTTAAGTAAACCTGATAAATTAACTTCCCTCCCCCCTTTCAGGTCCGAAGAAAAAAAAAATTTATCGTATAAATTACTTCCGAGAAGAGCTGCTAAAAATCTTAGGTATACGTTAGATGCTTTGTGTAAAAAATCTTTGGTTAACGATTATGCCAAAATGTCATCAAACATGGATGATGAAGACTTCACCGATAGCGCTTTAAGGTTTATGGTTAAAGATAAAGAGGTGAGTAAATTAAAAAAATTCTTACGTATTTCTTTATAAAGGATTTTCAAAATGGCGACGTGTAAAAACTGTAAATTATTACGTTGTTATTGTTTTTATTTGATTAGCAAAAATTGGAGTTGGAAATACAGGAAGCTTTTCTGAGATTTATGGCGACCATATTAAAAGGATACAGATCCTATCTTTTGCCAATTATCAAGGCACCCACTGTGGGAACGACGGATCCAAAATCTCTTTTTGATTTGCAAGGTTGGTTTTTGAATTTTCCCGCATGAAAATCTCGAATGTTAAAAGTCTTATTCAAAATGTGTTTTAAAAATTTTCAGGTTTTTTAAAATCGAGAGATAAAAACGAGCACAAATTTTTCGTCATGCTTATGAAAACTCAAATGTTTATTCGTTTTATCGAAGAACGTTCGTTCGTGTCTGACAACGACGCGGGATTGGCTTTCTTCGATGAATGCACCGAAAAAGTCGAAGATACTACTTATAGTCGTTTGTTGGAATTTGAAGAATTTGAAGAATCTCACAAAAGTGAGAGAACCGTTTTTATCCCTCCTCCCGAGCCGAGCGGTTTATCCCCAGGGATTACTTATAATTATCAGGTGAATGATGACTTGCCGAATTTCCGTAAATTCATCTCGATTTTTAAACAATTGATTATTAAAAAAAGTTTTTTTTTTTTTGCGTTTTAAGGGTTTTAATTTAGATAATAGTTTATTTAAAAGTAAAGATACCAAAGACATATTAAAGGTTCCACTTCAGGAAAATACTCCGGGGAGTCCGATGGCTAGAAGGACAAAACACGAAGTGAAATCTGCTCAAAAATTAGCTCGTAGAAAACATTCTCAATCACCTCAGACTTGGGTCAAATGTTTGTTGACCACGTGTTACAGGTACCGAGGACTGATGTTAAAATCAATATAAATCCTTTAATTAAAAATTTTTTTTTCTTTTTTTTTTTTTCCAATCGTTCGTTTTTCAATTTTAGTTTGTGGTTCATTCATTTGCCCAGTTTTGTGATTAACGATCCATCGAAATCATCCGTTTGCCTAAGGATAGCCTACGATCTTTTAGTGAAGATTCAAAAATTGAAATTAAATCCGACGGACGAAGTAATTGTCTAAATTAAAAATTTGTTTTTTCAAAAATGTCGTAAAAAATTACTTTTTTTCTATAAATGTTTCGTAGGTCTGCTACCGGGTTATGATGCAATTATTCGGAGTTTATAGTCAACCGGTTTTAGCCGTCAATCTTCTTTCTCAAATGAAATCTTGCGGTATTCAACCCAACGCACTAACCTACGGATATTACAACAGAGCTGTACTCGAAGCAACATGGCCGTCTGATCAATCTCATCCCAGCCAATTGTGGAGCAAGTTGAGGTCCGTACCTCTGTTAAACTCTGTACCTTTTTTTTTTTCAAAATGTTAGTACTTATTTTTTAAAATTTTACAGAAACGTTATTGTTGGAGCTGCTTTGTTTCGTCGCGGAGGACACAGGGTAAAAAATAAACTCTCCGAAGCAGAATCTTGTTTGTCAATCGCTTCCGTCGAAAAGGGAGATTTTCTCTCCGAGTTGGATAAATCAATGATGAAAAGAAAAGGAAGTATAATGAAACCGTCTCAGCAAAATTTACGCGAATTAATTTCATATCAACCATGTAATGAATAAAATAATGTCACGAATTGTAATTTAATGTCGTTGTCCTTTTGTCATTTATGTGTATGTATATTTAAAATTTCTTTCAGTGGAAAATAGTGCGGGTATATTGATGACCGGATTAAAAAAATCTCCTCCGATAAGCAGGAGGCAAAAGAGTTACACGGATTTTAATCTTAGATTGCAACAAACGAGTCCTAGGTTAATATAAAAATGATTTAGAAAGAGAAATGATCAACGTGAAATTTAAATTTCGATAACGTTTTTACAGTGTTGCCGATGTAAATGCGGTCAGACTGCGAAGAGGTAGTATGTCACCCACAATCACGGAGAATGACACTTTAAAATTACTCATGAGATGTGATAGTTTTGCTAATGACACGTCAATTTTGGAAAAACACAATCGTTGTAATAAAATAAACGGTTGGTTTTTCTCTCTCTCTCTCTTTCTTTTTTTTCTATTCCTCATTACTATTTAATTGAAATTTTTTTTGTTGTAAATTATTTATTTTTAGAAAGCAATGCGGCGTTTACATCGAAAACTCTTTCGGTACCACGTGAAAGTTCGGAATCACTCGACATAACGGATGATATTTCGTTAGATGAAAGTTGGAGTAGTACTCGTAAAACGAGTAACAAACGAGAAAGTATTAAAAATGATGGTAAATTAGACACGCCGACACGGACTCGGTTGATCTCCAAATTAAATTGCCTGGGATCCGACTGGAACAGGAATGAGTGGACAGCATCGCAGGATTCGATAGAATCGGCACCGTTTTTAGATTGGTTAGTTGTTGGTAACACTGAAAATTACAAACGGTTTTTTTTTGTTGTCGAAAATTGAAAAATAAAATTGTGAATTTAGCAGCAAGGAAAATGATGAAAATACGAATTTAAAAGACTATCAAATTGGAAAACCCGTATGGAAAAGTTCTGAGGGTTTATTAAACGCGGATGACGTGAAAAGAATCCCATGTAAAGAACCGAGAAATCCGCGTTCGGCGAGTGAAAGTAGAGAAGGTAAAAAGGGGGGAAAAAAAATTAATTTTTATTTGATTTTTTTTTTTTTTTTTTTTTGTTAAACTAATCTATTTTTAATTCAGGTTCTAAAAACGAAGAGAAAAAGACTTTAAATTGCAGTCAGGATAATTTAAAAACGACAACAACTTGCAGTAGTTTATTAAATTCATCCGAAGACATTTTAGACCTTGCATCTAATCCTAGTCAAACTGATTTGCTGAGTTGTGGAGATTTTAAAAGATCAGGTTAGCTGTCGTGCTGTGGCCAAGAAAACTTATTCGATATAAATTTAATTAAATTTTTGTTCTCTCTCTCTCTCTTTTTCTCTGCACTCGTAGAAGATGACATTGAAAACGCGATGGAAAGAGAATTAAACGAAAGTAAAAATAGTAATTTGGGACAATCGTTAAAAACTTCTCCGATTCGAACTCCGGTCACGGAAAACGATCCTCTGGGCGCTTTGCAATCGAAAGATGAAATAAATGGAACCGGAAATGACGTTTTGACGAAATTAGTCGATTCGAAAAATTTTAAAAATAATTCGGATTCGATCGAAGACTGCGAACTGTTGTCGTCGAGAATGAAATACGATTTATTAATAGGCGGTTTGTTTTCTCATCATCCGTTCAAAAAGAAAGAGGGAGATCACGTGGGTCATTCCGGCGGAAGCAGACGACGAGACAGTGAAAAATACATTCAGGAAGATGGGGATCACGACGGAGGATCTAGAGTTCCCAAGAGTGCAACTTTTCACAACGGACGAGATAAAGAAACAACCAAATCGAAAACAATTCCAAGAGGATCGACTTCACCCACAAATGTAGATAAAAAAAATAATTTTTTTAAAATTTCAAACGGAAAAACCGTTATTTTACAAAATGAAACATTTTTTAAATTCAAGGAAAGTCCTTTCGTACGGAAATCGTTACAAAGATCCACGACTATGCCCGACACGGCTGCTGCCACGACCGTTTCTTCCAGTTCTTCCGTGGCTTCTAGTTTGAGTAGTTTTAGTTCAAATTTTAAATTTTCGTTTAGGTAAAATAATTTTAAATGAGTTTTTCTTTTCGAATTTTTTTTTTTACTTGATAACCGACTTTATATAAAAAAAAAAAAAAAGCCTGAAACTTTTGTAAATAAATAAATATGTTGATTGAGTGATGGCGTTAACAATCAATCAATGAGGCGGGCACAAAGTATTTTGGCGCCAAAATTTTTTTTGAGTTAATATTTTAAAAAAAAAATAAAATAAAATAAAGCTGTAAATATTTTTAAGGATGATGTTTTGTAAAAGCTTCAACGCACTAATATTTCGCTTTATTTTTTTTATTTTATCTTTTTTTTTTTTTCTATATACACTGCAACTAATAAATAATAATAATTATTATTATTATTATTTTGGCCGAATGAAAAGCTTTGTTATTTAATTTTTTAATTTTTAAAATTTTTTTTGTTTTTGTTTTTTTTATTTGCAATATCGAGTGTTTAATGTGTTACAGCCGTTATAGTCCAAGCAGATTTAGTCTGAAAAAATCGGATCTGCATATAGCTAAAACACAAATTCTAGAAAATGCTATCAGGTACATTATTATTATTATTATTATTCATCTTTTTATTTTTATTTTTTTTTTTTACGAGCTGTTTTAAATTGTTGTAAAAAAATTAAAATGATTTTGGTGGCAATTATAGCGAATGTTTGTCGCAGCTTGTAAATGCTTTAAAAAATTTTTTTAATATTATTATTATTATTACTATTATTATTATTATCTAATCGATTGTGTTGATGTTTTTTTTTGTTATAGCGGATCGAAAAAATCAAACGAATTGCTTCTGAGCGGTTTTAACACTGTCAAATCGGCTGCTTCATCGGTTGCTAAAAAAATCGAAGAAGTCATGTCGACGAATTCGACTCCGGTTAAATCGTCAAACGTGTAAGATGATCTCCCCAACAGTATTATTATTATTACTATTATTATTATCGTTTAAACTTTATTAAGACTCTTCTCCTTGATTCGTTTGTTTAGATCTCACGAATACGACGAAGAAGAATCGGATTGTGCGGTTGAAAAAAATGCAACGTTGGATTTCGAATCGTGGGGAACGAATTTAAAAGAATTTTTCGGAGACGGAAGTCGTAAGGGAAGTTCTGCCAACCTTCAACCCCCTTGTTTCGAAGTCGAACCCGTTTCCGAAGAGATATTAGTGGAAAGTTTATACGGGAAAAATGCACCGTTTAAAAATGTCGACGTTCAAACCGCGTTCGTTGCGGTCATGACGACTTGTTGTAAATGTAACAATTGTCATTCTGTTTTGTACGACGAAGAAATCATTGCCGGATGGACACCGGACGATTCGAATCTTAACACGAAGTAAATTAAATTGAAATCGTGTCATAAGAATTACATTTCGACGGATTTCAATTTTCTTTTTTCGTTTCCAGATGTCACTTTTGCGAGAAACCGACGTTGCCCTTTTTATCGGTCACACTGTACGATCACAGGGGAACGGACAAGGGGAGAAAATTATCCATTCAAAAACCTCATCTTTCGCAGAGTTTTTTAAATCGTAACCTGACGAACAGTTCTCTGTCCGTCAACGCGACGGGTAGTTTGATAGATATAAAAAACGAAATAAAAGAAACGAACGATGAAAACGCTTCTTCCTCGGACGGTGTTGACGTCGTTGATGACACGTCCGAAAACAAACGCGACAACAACGGAAATAATAATAATAATAATAAAGACGATTTCGCGGTGGCGAAAAGGGTAGAAGATAAACCGTCGTCGTCATCATCGTGCGAACAAATCGAAATAAATAACGAGCCCTACGTGGCCGAACCCATAATAGTTCCTTATTTGAATCCTCTCGTGTTGAGAAAAGAATTGGAAAATATATTGCATCATGAAGGAGATCAAAGTTTGACGAAACCATCGTTTGTCGATCAACATCCCATTGTTTATTGGAATATGGTGAGTGTTTGCGCATGCGTGTGCGTGTGCGTGGGTGCGTTCACGACGATTGTGATATTACTTCCCTCTTTCTTTTTATTTTTTTTCAGGTTTGGGTGTTTGAAAGAATCAACTTCACGAGTCACTTACCGGGATTAGCTTTAAAAAGTTCGGTTGTCAAAAAGAAACAATTCATACACAGGTCGTGGATATCGGATTGCGATGCCGGAAGCATTTCGATAAAATGTCTTTGGGACAATCCGAGACTTTACGAAGAGGCAAGGATAAATGGATTTTTGTTTTCCCCGCTTCCCCCTCCCCCTCCCCCGTTTTTTAAACGTATCCGTTTACTTTTCAGATCGGACAGCCAATGTATTTGCTCTGGCAAGATGAAAGCAGTCAGAGTCCTTTGGTGAACGCTCTCGTCACAGATAGAATGACAATGCAAAAAAGGTGATGAAAATTTCCTCATGAAGGATGTTTTATTATCATTATCATTAACGTTAACGTGTACTATTATTATTATTTTGTTTAGCGTGATGCAAAATATAATAGCGAGTCTGAGACGGGATAAACTTTACGACGCCATGAGATTATTGATTAACGAACGTACAAAAATCCGTCATTCGCATTCTCTCTACAGGGATATATTATTTTTAGCAATAGCTGCTTGCGATCGGAGAAACATCATTTTAGGTGAAGATTAAAAATTTCTCTTGGTAAGTCTTACAAAAGTATAAATCTAAAATTTTTTTTTTTTTTTTTTTTTTTCGTTTTTATAGATTCATTCGATCGCGAATATGGCGTTTCGTATGCCAAATTAAAATCGGAAGACATTTTGTTGTTAGATTGTGATAAACCTCCAGTTAGTGCCTCATATCGTAATTATTTTCGTCCTCTTTTGTTGTCTCACCAAATAAATTAACGGAAAAAAAAAAAAAGAGAGAGAGAGAGAGAGAGAGAAAATCGAAATTTTTGTTTGTTTTATGAATTTTAACCAACGAAAATGTGTTTGTTGATTGTTGCGCCTTAAAATAGTTGTATACGCTTGATGAAATCGGTTTTGTTTTCGAACGTATTTTGTCGGGGAAAAAAACGTTTAACGAAAGTGTCACGAGAAAAAACGCGCGCGCGTGCGCACGAACAAATGACGAAACATTCTCGAATAGTTTTTAAATTATTAATAAACCGTCACAAAATTTTTTTTTTTTCCCCCGTTTCGTTAATTTAATAATGTTTGTTTGTATATATACATATGTATAGTTAATGTGAATGCGGGTGCGTTAATAATAATAATAATAATAATAATAATATGCGAAATTAATCCGTCGGTAAGATTTACACAGTATTTTTTTTTTTTTTTTTTTTGTTCACACACAATTGTAAAAACCGACGACGACGACGACGACGACGACATAGTTCAAAAAGTTATTAAAAAAAAAAAAAAAAAAAAAAATGTCGGATAGAATTAATTCGTGAGAGATTATCATATTATTTTCTTATTAAACGTTCATTTATTTTAATTACAAATGATTTTCGTTGTTTTTTTCATTTTCCCTTAACACACGATGATGAATAATTCATTGATATATCAATAATGTGATACTAATAATAATAATAATAATACTCGATTATTAATTGAATTATTCTTTTGAATATTAATTCATAAAAAAATGTATAATTATATATTTATATATCTCGGATCGATAAGGATTTATTTATCAGACAAAAGAAAAATGTCGTTTCGTTTAAATTAAATAATTAATCTATTTTTTTTTTTAAATCATTTAAAATTATCTAAAAACAATTAAAGCTCTTTTTTTCTCTCATAAAATCTAATAATAATCTCAACAAAATTGTTACCCAAAATCCCACCGCTACCGCTACTACTACTACCACTACCACTACCGCCATTAAAATATTTTTCTTTGTTAAATTAAATTACAAAAAATAAGAAACAATTGTGTGACATTTTGCTAGATTATAATCCTCTTTTAATTAACAATGAGTTTTAAAGTTGTGATATTTTTCCAACCAGATTAACATGAGTGCGTGAGAAACGGCATTTTGTGGGGGTGCCCAAAGTTTCTGTAAAAATGACGTTTTATTATTATTATTATTATTATTATTATCATAGGTTTAATTTTAAAATTATGTTGTCGTAAGAATGGTTTAATTTTTGCGTGTTGATTCACCTCAGGATCGAGGGATTCGAATTTTTTTAACGTTCTCGTTCTCTCCACGGCTTCTTTTAAAACGTTTGCTTTTACCCATTTGGCATCTTGAATTTCTTTCGGATCTATTATGAAATTTTTTTCCGAAACGGTCGCAATGCAACCCAAACTCAATTGACACGATGGTGAAGCCCAGGGTTGAGATGTGCAATATTCAACATGGAGAATGTTCAATCCGACTTCTTCGGCAACTTCTCTCCTCACGTTTTCTTCATATGATTCACCTTTAATCATTATACTTATACAACAGTGTAATCTTCTAAAACTTTTAGTTTTCAAGGTACTGGAAAATGATAAAAGGTCATTATCGAATATTAACAACTCCATTTACCAGGTTCAATAAAACCCGCCACACATGTATACATTCCAGGCGGATGCCTATTTTGTCTAATTAATAAAACTTCATTGTGATTTGTATTTTCTATAAGTGTCAAACCGACTGGTGATAATGTCGGATAGTGATAAACATTGCAACTCGAACATTGTTTTCTGTGACCACCTTCGTTTATATTTAATGTTCCACTGCAAAAGCAGCAGTATTTGACTGATTCACAAAAATTTAACAGACCTCTTGCCTGAAAAATAATCAAAATTTATTATTATTATCATTATTCGATAATAATTGCCTTTTACAAATATGAATAAATAAATTCGAGAAATGTTTGAAATAATAATAATACTTATTGTATTGTACTTATGCTTGTTCTCTTTAGAGAGAAAAAAATTTTTTTATACAATTTTGAATAAAATAAAAAAACCCACATGAGTTACATATTGTGATTCCTTGGCACTTAAATAAAATAATGAATGTCTAACATTAACAAATTTTCCATCTGCTTCGCTTTCGATATCCTCTTGATTGATTTCGCTTGAGGCTTCTAAATTAACAGCGAATAAACAAATGTTTGAACCTGATTCATTTAATACATCTAATAAAACTGTTTTAGAATTGATCAACTTGTCCCATTTTTTAATGTCTAAAAAAAAATAAAATAATGATTTTTTTTTAAAATCTCCAATTTAGAATGACTTTTTCGAATATAAATTGTGAATGAAATTGCACAGACCATTGTATCCTTTTAAAACTAATTTGTCATCGTTATTCAGGCAAACCATTTCATTTTTTAAAAATAATATATATTTTCCACCTTCGTATAAAACATTTGAAAAAGTTTGATCAGATTTGAGTTTTTCCAAATATCTAGCTTTATTAACAAATTGTTCTGCTTCTGCTGAAAAACAATAACACGGTGTCAACTTATTCACTCTAGGTAATAATTGACGAGTAATCATTTGTGCGCATTTATATGAAGTAAACATTCCGCTTTTACTGTTAAATATTACAGAACAATTGATGCAAACCCATAGTTTAATAAAATGTCGATTAATTTCAAATATATATATATATTCAAAATCTACTGCTAAATCCAACGGTCGCTAATATTTTAATTGGTTATACGTATGTATGTTTACATTCAAGAACTGATTAGTCCAAGTTACGTACCGATAATTTTTTGAACACATGGATTTATTAACGAATCTCTGTATGTGTTTTTTTTAAAATAATGATTTTATGAAATAATTATTTTTTAGTTTTTTTTTTTTTTCAAATTAAACATGGATGCTTTAGACATCTTTTACAAACTTTCTGCTGGTACTAAATTATCTAGGACTAATAGAAAGGTAAGTATAAAAATAAGTTTTTTATTTACTTTTAACCTAACTTGGTTACACTAATGCATGCCAACTCGTATTGGCACTAAATATTTAAAAAAATTTTTATTTTTTAGTTGTTTATTTAAGAAATTTTTTTAAATTCAATATTAAAACATTCGTTATGAAATAATTAGAAATGATTTAAATCATTAATTGTACATTTTTTACTTTTAAATTTAAATGAAGTGATGTCACGACATTTTCTTAATTTTTTGAACACGGTACCGCACAATCAAATATAAGTCGATGGGAAATTGTGTTTATTATTACAATAATTTGAATTTTACAAAATGCCAGTTGATATAACAAAATTAACAGAAGGTTGGCTAGAATTGGAAAGTGATCCTGGATTATTTATGCTTTTATTAGAAGATTTCGGTGTTAAAAACGTTCAAGTCGAAGAAATATACGATATAACGAAACCATTTGACGGACCTGTTTATGGTTTTATATTTCTCTTTCGATGGATAGAAGAAAGACGTTCAAGAAGAAAATTATTCGATCAAAATGACATGTTTTTAAAAGAGGAAGAAGTGGTTAATAATATTTTCTTTGCTCAACAAATGGTACCTAATAGCTGTGCTACTCATGCTTTACTCTCCGTTCTTCTTAATTGTCCCAAAATACATTTGGGTGATACTTTAACGCGTTTGAAAGCGCATACTGTGGGAATGACTCCAGAAAATAAAGGTTGGGCAATTGGAAACACTCCAGAATTGGCTAGGGCTCACAATTCTCATGCCATGCCACAAGCAAAACGATGTGTAGATAAAAGTTCTGTATCTGCTGGCATGACTTCTAGTAGATATGCTGGAGAGGCTTTTCATTTTGTTAGTTATGTTCCAATTCAAGAAAGGCTTTTTGAATTGGATGGCCTTAAACCATATCCCATTGATCATGGTCCGTGTGAAAATAATGAAGCCTGGACGGAAAAATTCAGGAGAGTTATGACTGAAAGACTTGGAGTTGCTGGAGGAGAACCATGCCATGACATTAGATTTAATTTAATGGCATTGATTCCTGACAGAAGAATTGCTCTGTCGCACAAATTAAATATGCTTAAAACAAATAGAGAAATTGTCGTGACTGCTCTCCAACAATTGGTACACCTGAATTCCGAATCAAAAAAATTAGAAAATTACAAAGAAGAGCATGAATCTTTTAAAACCAATTCATCTGATTTAGGATCTAATTCATCTCTTACAGAAAGTGAAGCAGCTATAATAAATGACTTAAAATTAGACAAAATGGGAAATGAAAATAATATGTGGAAAAAGTCTGACGATAATTGTTTAAAAGATAATTTAGTCGAAGGTTCTCAGTTTTCTGAACATGCAGAAAGTGATACTAATGTACATCATGAAATAAATGTATCTAAAAATCATGCAGATACTTTATCAAGTATAAAAAGTAATTTGCAGTCATCTTCGAAGGAAAACATAGAACCTGCATTTAACATAGATAAGAAAGGAGCATTAAATATCAATTCTGATTATTCTTTGCCATTGACGATAGAAACATCACCAACTCCGAGCATCTCTGGAACTGATACATCTTCCGATGTAGGTTCAGTGTTCAATTCGCCTTCAACAATGGGCTGGGGTTGTAATTCCTGTCAAAGCAGTCCATGTCCTAAAGACTACAAGAAATATTTAATGCAGTCAGATGAAAAAACTGATTCACTTTCTGGTACATCAAGTTCATCGCTTTTAGGAAAAAAGACGAATAGTCAATCACCTTCCTATAGAGAAGACAGCAAAGCTGAATCTCCAACTTGTTCGACATTATTGGAAACAGATTCTAATAAAGAAAAAGATTGTAAACCTGAAGATACTGATGCTATGAAAGCACTTTTATCGAAATATCCTGTACTCAGAGAACCTCATACATTTGCACCGAAAGATTTGTTAGCATTGTTGAAAAATGTCGAATCAGAAATTGCCAATTGTGAAGCATCTTTAAAAGATGAAAATGATAAGAGAACAAAGTATAAAATTGACGATTGCAGAAGGACTCACAATTACGACGAATTTATTTGCACGTTTTTATCTATGCTTGCTGAACAAGGGAAACTGGCCGACTTGGTCGAGCAGCACCTACACAAAAGACCTGGTATACCATTACACAGGCTCAAAAGACCTCATCCTATAAAAAAATCAGATACTAATAAAACAGCAGGAAGACGTAGAAAGAGCAAAACAAAACACAGAAGGAAAAATTAAATTTTTTCAATTTTCTGTCTTTCTTTCTTTTTTTTTTTTTTTTTTGTTTTTATTTAGGTACTAAAATGAAATTTTTAATTATTAATGTTTAATTTGTGGGGGGGGAATAAAAAAATGTTTTAATGATTTTATATTTATTTTTATAGAAAAAAAATGAAGTAGTGAATATCAAAGAAGAACCCACAGATATTATAAATAGTGAAACAGTGACAGATACATTCATAAATGAAAATGATTTGGATATCATCAAAGATGAAGGAGATGCTGCAACAGATGAAAACAATTTCACAGTAAACAATAATAATAATAATAATTCACAGCCATTAGAACTTTTAAAAGGTTTATCAACGGATAACATAAGAAGGAAAGAAGAAAAAGAAGGAAAAAGAAAAAAGAAAAAAAATGTTACGAGTATAGAAGTTTATAATAAACAACAAGAAGAAAAGGTTTGGATTTTGTCGATTTCATGAAAAAACTTTTTTGTAAACTGTCTAAATGTTTGTTTTGTTTTTTTTCCAGCTAGCTGAAGCAAGAAATAAACTCAAAGTATCAGTCATTGGAACAAACGTTCCATGGCCTTTGGAAAATTTCAACGAATTAATTACTAGATTTCACGTGTCACCAAATATCGTCAAAAATTTAGAAAATTCCGGATACAATAATCCGACTCCTATTCAAGCTCAAGCCATTCCAGCCATGTTGGAGGTAGACGCCATGTTTGTAAACTTTACTCTATCAAAATCCTAAAATTTTAGTAATCACGGTGTTTTCTTTTTTTTGTAGGGTAGACAAGTTTTGGCTTGCGCGCCTACCGGATCGGGTAAAACGGCTGCTTTTCTCGTGCCCATATTTTACCACCTCAAAGGACCCACGAAAAAGGGTTACAGGTGCGTCATTGTTTGTCCGACAAGAGAATTAGCCCGTCAAACTTACAGAGAATGCCTGCGTTTGAGCGAAGGGACGAGATTGAAAATCAACATAATAAAAAAAGTAACTCTCGACAAGGAAAACTATTCTAACACTTCAAAAAAGTTTGGTTTGTACAGGGATTAGGGATTGAAAAAATTAATCGTCGGGATAATTGAAATCTGATTCCTTTTTTTTTTGTAGACATACTAATAACAACTCCTAATCGGTTGGTGTATTTACTAAAACAGGAACCTCCTAAAGTCAATTTAAAAAGGTAAGCAAAAGATTTTTTTTTTTTTGTTTTAACGATGAAAACGTGGTAAATAATTAAGAAAAAATTCTTTTCTTTAGTGTCGAATGGTTGATTGTGGACGAATCGGATAAATTATTCGAAGCTGGGATTCGTGGATTTCGAGATCAGTTGGCGGTTATTTACAACGCTTGCGATTCGTCCGTTATAAAACGCGCCATGTTTTCCGCGACTCAAACTCCGCATTTGACAAAATGGTGTCGAAGAAATTTGAAAAATTTAGTTTTGATCAACGTGGGAGTGAGGTAAAAAACCGACTTGAATTTCCCCTCCTCCCCCTCCCCACTCGGTAATATTATTTTTTAATTATTATTATTATTATTATCGAAATAGAAATTCTGCGGTTGAAACGGTTAAACAAGAATTGCTTTTTGTCGGATGCGAAGCAGGGAAACTTGTCGCATTTAGAAATTTAATCAACAGAGGACTCACTCCACCCGTTTTGGTTTTCGTACAATCGAAGGAAAGAGCTCAGGAATTATTCAATGAATTAGTTTACGATGGAATTAACGTTGACGTCATACATTCCGACAGGACGCAAAAACAGGTGAGAGAAACTTTTTTCATTTTTATTTTTTCGCGATTCGTCGAAATAAATGAATTTAAACGTTTAAAAAAATTTTTTGTTTTCGTGTTTCAGAGAGACAACGTGATTCGAAGCTTTAGAGAGGGTAAAATTTGGGTTTTAATTTGTACCGAATTAATGGGTCGAGGTATAGATTTTAAAGGAGTCAATCTTGTTGTCAATTATGACTTTCCTCCGAGTTCTGTGTCTTATATCCACAGAATCGGACGTACAGGTAGAGCTGGAAGACCCGGGAGAGCGATAACTTATTTCACACAAGACGATACAGTAAATTTAAGAAGGTAAAAACAAAAAAAAACAGATAAAATGATAAAATGTAAACATTCGTGCAAAAGGGAAAACTAAATTTTTTTTTTTTTTGGTTTAGCATTGCGCGAATAATGAAAAATGCCGGTTGCGAAGTACCCGAATACATGCTCTCGATGAAAAAATCAAATAAAAGAGATAAAAAGAAACTTGAAAATAAAGCTCCCCACAGAGAGAGCATATCAACGACTCCCATTTATGAAAAAGAAAAAGAAAGAAAGAGAAAAATAGCAGAAATAAAACGTAAAAATAAAAAGAAAATAAAATTAGTGTCGGCTAGAGAGGCCAAAGAAAATGAAGAAAAATAAAATTTTTTACATTTATTATTTTTATTATTATTATTTTAATATTCAGACCGAAGTGAATGTGAAGTCGACTTTTTATTTATCTAATTTAAAAAAAAAAGCATTTTTCATTATAATTGCTGCAATTATAAGGATGATAAATTTTACTAAAGGATGTGATTTTTATAATAATCGAACTCGTTTAAAAAAAAATATATATAAAAATTATATTTTAGTCGATAAAAAAGAAGTATTTATATAAATTTATAAGCGTTAAGGTAAAATTTTTATTGCAGTTTTTTAATTATTAAATAAAGTCAACCATTACCATTTAAACTTAAATTAATGTTTTACATTGATTCTCTCAAAGTGTAAACAACATTACCAGCCATATAAATGGTGATTGCAAAACCGACAGCAAAACTTACGAGTCTAGCCGGTTGTTTTTTTACTGAAATTGCATACACATATGTGTGAGCATATCTGCTTAAAGTGTATGCGATAAAGAGAGGAATGGCTAAAAATGGACTGGGATTTAAAGTAGCATACATGCAAGCAACACTTATAAAAATTATTATGTTTTCTAAATCATTTAAATGAGCTCTTCTCATTCTTTCAACATCCGGATCATCTCTTTTTACTTTTAATCCCTTTCTAATCTTTAAGTCTTCTGGAGTGCAAACTACTTTTTTCTTCCATCTCATTCTTGCCGTGAGTACGACCATGAAAAGAACTTTAATTACTAAAAGAGATGCACACGTGTAGAAAACTTTAAATGTTGATGTTGTAAAATCAATTGTTGCGTGTCCGGTAGACATGATTAGCCCAATTTCAAGTTTCTATCAATTTGTTTTTTAAAACGAACTTGACTAATATCTAAAAGGAAATTTATTTTTAATTTTTTTCTTTTTTTTACGAAAAGATATTAATATATACGTAATAAAATAATATAAAACATCACATACATAATTTACGTTATAAATTTTTTTTACATAAAAATCACAATTTATTTTTTCATTTAACAATTATACAAGTGGGAATAGAATAGAAGATTATTCTATCATTAGATTAGGTTACACGTGAAACTCATCTGAAAAACAAAAGAATGTCGTAATTACAAAAAAATAAATAATTTATTTATTTATTTTAAATTTTATCGATTTAAAAAAAGTGATGAATTTTTTTTTATGTTAAAAAAATAAATTTTGTGATAAGTAAAAAATTTGATATGTGTTTAACATTAAATAAGTTTTTGTTTTGACTAAAGTAGTGACAAATCAGCGCCATTTTAGTTTTGCTCGTAACTTGTGAAGTTATAAAAGAAATCTTTTTTTTTTTTTTTTGCTTTTTGGTTTTAAAATTTCATGCGAAGTGTAAAAACTCAGTTTATTCGAATAAGGTAAGATAAAATTAATTGGAATTTGCAATTGGTATACATTTTTTTACAGGTTACTTTTACAAATTTGCTTTTTCATTACCAATATTGCCAAGTAAGTTTTTTGCCAAAAATCTATTAATGCTCATTACTTAATTGTTGCAGCTTTTTTTTTGTTTAACTGTTCTTAATTGGAAAAAGAAAGATGAAAATCAAAAATCAAAAACTTTTTCTAAAAAATATTTATTATTATTTATATTGGTTTTTTTTTAAAAATAATTATTTAAATTTAATTTTCAATTTATATAAAAGTTAAAGTAAAATATCTCTTATGTCATTAATTATTTCTTCAGCGTCATCCAATGATTTTAACATAAATTTTTGCTGGTCTCTAAACATGGATATATTTTCTGGTTCTTGTAATAGATTTTCATCACGTTCTGATTTATATAAAACTTCAACGAGTTCTCTTTGAATATTTTCCTTAACGAAATTAACTAAACAATGCATTATCGCTTTAGGTACTAAATCCTGTATTGATTTTCTAACAATGTTGAAATAATTTTTGACTAATTTTTTAATTATTTTACATTCTCTCTCATCTCTTTCTGTCAATTGTTTTGCAGGAGGCAATGATTGTATGGATGATCCTTGGCATGAAGAATTTATTTTACTTAACGTTAATTGATTTTTAAATTGTATCGTCGATGTGAAATTTTTATTGTATTCACTTTGTGCCATCACATTATATATATTTATGTTATTCTTTTTACATATTTCATTGAAATCATTATTATTTGGTAGGAAGGAATTAAACCAACCCCTAGGAGATGAGTGTGGTTTAAAACATGTTTCTGATATGCCTACAAACATTATTATTATTATTATTACTTATTAATAATTTTTTTGTTTGTGTTGTTGTTGTTGTTGTACTTTTAAATGCTTACAAGTGCCTTGATTTATTTGATTGTCTAGATGATCAGAATTAATCATGTACTCCAAATCTATACCTGTTTTAAATTCTGGATGCATTGTATTTATATATGCTAATTCTAAATTTATTAAATTTTCTACCATGTTACGAGTTTGAGGAATTCTCCTAAATAGTAGATATATTGTAAAATATATACGGACAGTCAGTTATTTCAAGATTTGAAAGAAAAAAAAAAAACTTACTTTTTAATTATATCAGAGCCTATGATTAGAATTTTTTCAAAAAGTTTTGGAAATCTTAACATTTCTTGATGAATTTTTTCACCTGAATGTTGTAGAATTTGTTGCATTTCTTCATGAATTAATTCTACACATTTTAAACTAGGTTCTAATAATTTTGAAATTTGTTTCTTAACTAATATTTCAAAGCAAACCTGTAAGTGGTGGGGGGGGGGAAAAAATTAATCTTACATCCGTTAATTTATCTTCAGGTAGTTAAAATCTTACTTCAGGTACAAATAAAGGAGGTCTTGTTCCTGATGCGTTTCTTGTTGCTGTTAAAATATCAAATTTAGATAATCCTATCAATGGTTGAATTTGTTCTAGAGTTTTACCAAAAGTTTCATGAAATATGTAACAAATCCTTGCACCGCCACTAAGTTCGGTCGTTTCAATTTCTCTATTGCAACCATTAATAAAAAAAATAATTAATATTTAATTTTAATAAAGTTAAAAATGAAAAATTTCAGACCTGGAAGTTCCTTCGAGTGATGCACAATATGCGGTACAAAATTTTGTGATGACTTGAAGCAAAGTTTTGCTCTTATCAATAACATCTTCGCCATATTGTCCTAAAGAAGCAACGGTTTCACCTTTTATTGCGGCTATTCTTTGCTTTAAATCAGGTAAGCATTTTCTTATATGTTGAATTAATATTTTATTTAATGTTTTGGCTAAATAAGGACTACCGTGTCTCTGATAAATGTTCGGATAATGTTTTTGAAGAAAAGCACTCTCATCTTCAATAGAATTGCTTATGGGTTTGTTTTGAATCGTGTCTTTTTGAGATCTATTAACGACACCTATTATTCCTAATCGAACCGGAATTATTTTACCCGATAATATATCACTCGCATCGGTACCAGAATCCATTAAATCAAGTTTTGTAACTACAGCAACCGTTCTAGTACCTTCCGGATCGCATTCTCTAGCCATTTGTAGACTTTCACTTGTTGCCATATCCGTGTTTGCCGTTATAACAGCCAGAATAATAGAATTCGGATTGCATATGTATTTTAATACTAGTTTTCTTATAATAAATTCAATATCGTGAGGCTGATTCCCAACCGGGACTTTAGTCAAACCAGGCAAATCGATTAAAGTTAAATTAACAACGTGTTTCGAATAAATACTGAGAAAAATCGGATCTTCGCATATTCCTTTATTACATCCTGCTTTTAATTTTGTTTCCGTTTCAATTTCTTCTCGAATTTCTTCGAAATCTTTAAAAATAACATTTTTTTTATGATGAAAAACTCCAAATTCTTCGACGAGCGTTTTCTCACTTTCGGGAATGTTAATTAATTGCAAAACTAAGGGTTGTCTCGTAACTATTCCCACTCCTTTGGGTAAAAATGATTTTCCCACTAAACTTTCCAATACGGAACTTTTACCAGAACTTTGAGTTCCAACAACGACTATTTGTGGAAGTTGTAATGAATCTCTTCCGACGGTATTAAAAACATTTTGCAGTTTATTCACTATTAATATTAACGAATCCATTTAATTAACAATTTGAAACTTAAATACTGAAAAAAATTACACATAAAAAAGAAAAAAAAAAAAAAAAATTTTTACTCTAAAACACAATTTAAATTTATTTTCTTTTGTTCGATGTAAACATTAAACAAGTGTAAAGCAGAATAAAACCTTTTCTTATTATTTTCTTCGAATATCAATATCAAGTTGTAATATTTTTTATGTTTATTTTTAAAACGTTACAAAATGTCTAATTAAATTTTAATTCCAGAATTAATTAAGAAAAACAATGTAATTAAAGTTTATTATTTATTATTACTCGTAGAATAAAATATTAGAATAATATTTTTTAATTACAGAATATCTAAAACGTAATTCTAAAACAAAAAAAATTATTTTAAATTGAAAAATTTTTACATTTTGTAACCGTTAGAAACGAGAAAGGTTTTGAAAATGTCGTGTAACTAGATTTCAGACATGGCGGTCTTGTTTACTAAAATGCATCAATACCATTTCAACGATTAGTAGTTATGTATTGAATCATTGATTACTCTTAATTGTTTCATTGACGCGTGTTTAATTTGTGTTTGAAATTTTTCGTTTTTTTTTTTTTTTTTTTTTTTTCATATTGAGTGCCATTTAAAAAGGCTTTGTCTCTTTATTTTTTTCTGTAGAAATTAAAAAGCTTCTTCTATTAAAAAAAAAAAAATCGCAGACATATATACATATATGTCATTTTTGTGTCATTAAGTTAAATTACTATCATTATATTTTCCGCCAACGAGTGTAAAATTATATTATTTAATAGAAATTAATATTCGATAATATAAAACACAGGAGTTTATTAATTGTGTTATTACTACATAAACCTATATCAAAATTAGTTTTTTTTTATAATATGTGATATCCAGTAATTATATAAACAAAGTATACCTATGTGAATAAATGATCTGCACTTAAAAATGTTTTTCAAGGCTCTATTATTATTATTATTATTAAAGCATTTTATCTGATATTGATTACTATCGAGGGGGAGAGAGAGGGAGAGAGGAAAAAAAAAATATCTTTAAATCACAATAGCACCAATATTATCTAAGGCAAGTAATTTTGTTTGTATAGATTGTATTATTTTATCTAGATTTATTTTATTAATCAAAATTAATTGATTTTCTTTTAATAAAATAAATTAATGTGTATTTTTGTGTTGTTTAAAGTGAAAAAAAAATTTTTTTTTTTTAAATAAAATAAAATTATGAAATTATTAAAAATTTTTTACATGTTTTTTACATTTTATAATACATTTAATTAAAATGTTATTTTCGAATAATTATTATTAAAACTTGCGGGTGGTTTTCATTCGATTATTATTATTTTTTTTTGTTAATATGGATGATTGTTGTGAAAAAAACAGCAATAAAAATGACAATGATGATATTAAAAACAATTGTAATAAATTCCAAGTTGATCGTACAAATTGTAAAAAAAACAATGAAGTAGATAATGTGAAAAGTAAAAATGTTTGCTGTCGCTCTGTCGAACAAATTTCCCACGATTTAAGTCAAACTGAAAAAATTAATAAAAATGATAATAATAATAATGTACCTGAAACTAAAATAGTTAGAGTAAAATCAATTTTAAAAAAGCCTACAAGTGAAATAAATAATAATAATAATTTGCCATCGAACGAACAGAAATCTGTACAAATAAATAATTTATTAAAAATTGAAGTGAGGTACTTTGGTTACGATCAAAAATTACAAAGTGAAAATAATTATTATCAAAATACTTGTTGGTATAAATTTTTAAGTATATTATGTTATTATAGGGTGAGATGATATTTTCTTTTTTTTTTTTTTTTTGCAATGGAAAAAATTAATGCTATAAATTTTTTATTATTTATTTATTTTTCTCAGATTCGACAATTACAATGTTAAATCCAGTTTTAAATTTTTATTATGTTTATCGTTTTTTAGAAGAAAAGCAAGTAATAATAAATTGTATTAATAAATAATAATAATAATAATAATAGTATCCATTTTTTTAAATTCCCATGACTCCCAAATGCATGTTAGCAAAAAAAAAAAAAAAAAAAAAAGTAAAGAAAAAATTATGAAAATTATCTAATCAATTTAAAATAGGCTTTATGACTAGTTCACTCAAGAATTCAATTCCTTTACATACAATAACTGATGAAAAATTTAGGAACTACCTAAAATAAATTGAAATTTTTTTTTTTTTTTTTTCCATCCTACTGGAACATTGATTTGCATTTTGTGACGTGTACATGTTACATTTTTCAGATGTCCAGCGATGTCGTGGAAAAAGTACAAACGGCCAGAGTACAAGATTCAGAAACTTGGGACATTGAAAAAAGATCAAAATACACGGTTTACAAAGTCGTAGTACATTCGGGATCATCGAGTTGGTTCGTTTTTCGAAGATATGCCGAATTTCACAAATTATTCGAATCCCTGAGGAAACAATTTCCCAATCTGCAATTAAAACTTCCCGGTAAAAAACTTTTCGGGAATAATTTAGATCCGAATTTTGTCGCAATGAGACAAGACGGATTGGATAATTTCGTACAGCAAATAATTAGTCATACGATTTTACTACAGTTGTAAGTTTTTCTTAAAATTTTCCTTTTAACATTAACTTTTCCTCATCCATGTTAAAATATGTTTCAAATAATAATAATAAATTTTCCGAGAAAAAAGGAAAAACAAAATGTAAAAATTTCATTTTTATAAAGAAACAAATTCCGACTTGTATTAACTTGTACCAAAATTCAAAATTAAATTTTTATCAATATTATTATTATTATTATTATTATTATTAAAAGATTTTTAAAGTACCTTTCGAAAATATTTTATGCATAAGACTTTATTTTTATTCATTTATTTATTTATTTTATTTTATTATTATTATTATTTAAATTATTATTATTAATTGTGAATGAATATGTTTGAAAGTTCTCTATCGAGGTGATTAAATCATAATTAACATAAGAATTTAAATGAATGAATGAATGAATGAATGAAACAAAATTTTTTTTATTTTTTTTTTTAATAATTAAGATTTTTTTACATGATATTTAACAGACCGGAAGTAAGAGAATTTTTTAAATTAGATAATAAATGTTCAGCCATCGATGAGGGGATAACAAAAGATGAAAACATTTTGGTGAACGATGATAACAAAACGGAAATTAATAAATTAAATTTGGGACCGTCGGAAAGAACTCAGTAAGTTTTTTTTTTTTTTTTTTTTTTTTTTTTTCCCATTCTTAAACATAAATTCAGATTATGAGAGAAATAACTCGGTATTATTATTATTATTAATGATGATGTTTTTTTTTGGGGGGTTGTTCTCATCGACAGCGCTCAACCGTCAGATTTTGATTTTTTAAGAGTCATCGGACAGGGTAGTTTTGGAAAAGTCATCTTAGCCAAACATAAAAACGAAAACAAGTATTACGCCGTTAAAGTATTGAAAAAAAAACAGGTGATAAGGAAAAACGAAGCCAAACACATAATGTCGGAAAGGAACGTTTTGTTGAAAACCTTAAATCATCCTTTTCTCGTCGGTTTACATTATAGTTTTCAAACGACGGAAAAACTTTATTTCGTACTCGATTACGTTAACGGCGGAGAGGTGAGTGGGGAGAGGGGAAGGGAGGGGAGGGGGGGGGGAAAAAGAACCGAATTCGATTTTGTTTAATTATTAATATTATTATTATTATTATTATTATTTGCAGCTTTTTTTTCACCTTCAAAGGGAAAGAGTTTTTTCGGAGAGTCGATCACAATTTTACGCAGCCGAAATATCATGTGCCTTAGGTTATTTACATTTCAAAGGAATCATTTACAGAGATTTAAAACCTGAAAATATTTTATTAGATGCTCAAGGTTGGTGTTGTCCTCGCTGTTGTGAAATTTAGTCATCCATTTTTTTTTTTTTTTTTTTTAATAAAATTACTACAAACGTTTTGCTCGATTAATGAAAAACACCAAAAAAAAAAGAAAAGAATTCAATGAGATTAGATAAGGTCTACTTTTTTGTATATTTATACGTGCTCAAATATTGAGGTAAACAACAAGAGCAGACGACAGACGACAGGATCAGAATCTGATATAGTAAATGTTTTTATTGCAAATTTTTATATTAATTATATTATTAAAAATAAAAAAAAAGTAAAACGTCTGAAACAATCTCTTCTTTGATTATAAGTAAAAAAAAAAATGGATTTTAATTTTGTCTTTATTTAATTTAAAGTCTAATCTTTTGTTGATTTTATAAAAGAAGAAAAGAATAGAAAAAACAAATTATTATTATTATTATTATGTATACACAAATATTTAAAATGAAGAAGAAGAAGGAGAAAAAAAAACCTTCACCCACATTTTCGTGGGTATGATGTCGTAATGATGATGATGATGAACTTTTATTTAAAAAAAAAAAATTAAATTGATTTGTTATGAGGATATAGTATTATTATCATTATCATCATCATCATTATTATTATTTATTTATTTATTTTATTTTTTTTGTTAATGGAACGATTTTGATAAGCGTGACACGTTCGGCGGACTTTGAACTAATAAAAAGTAATATCATATTTATTTATCATTTTGCCCTTTCAGGTCACATAGTATTGACTGATTTCGGTCTTTCAAAGGAAGGTTTACTAGGAACGGATACTACGAAAACATTTTGCGGTACTCCCGAATACCTGGCTCCGGAAATCATTTTGAAAGAGGTAAAGAGAAAGAAAGGAAAAAGGAAATCCTTTAGTCAGTTTTACGTTTTTATTATTTCCCAATCTCAAATATGTTTTTCTTTTTTGTCTTGGAAGGCATACGATCGATCCGTCGATTGGTGGTGTTTGGGTACCGTCCTGTACGAAATGTTATTCGGGTTACCTCCTTTTTATTGTCGGGATACGTCGGAAATGTACGATAGAATACTCAACAAGCCTTTGGTGATAAAAACAACCGTGTCAGAAGGTGCTCGAGATATATTAAGCAAGGTAAAAATAAATTATTATTATTATTATTATTTTGTGTTAGTGAACTCGTTATTATTAATCGATATCTAAGAGTTCGTTATTATTATTATTATTATTATTTAGCTATTAGAAAAAGATAGATCGAAACGTTTGGGAAGCGGTTACGGAGATTTCGATGACGTACAACGTCATCCATTTTTCCGTAACATCAATTGGGATTCTTTGGTTGGGAAAAAAATCAAACCGCCTTTTAATCCTCTGGTTCGAGGTGAGTGAAATCGTCGGGCGGTTTTTTTTTTTTTTTTTTGGGGGGGGGGGGAAATTCGATATTAAATTATATGTATTTTCAGGTGTAATGGATCTTAGAAACATTGATCCGCAATTCACTAAAGAACAAGTTCCTGCTTCCATAGAACAAAATTGCGACGAATACCTAAGTGCCAGCGTTAGAGAAGCCGACGATGTTTTTGCCGGATTTTCTTATGCTCCTCCCACGGCCGAACTTTCGGCATGACAACAACGAAAATGATGATAATGATGATGATGAAAAACATTTTATAATGAATGAATGAAAAATAATAATAAACAAACCGAGTAATAATAATAATAATAATAATTATTATTGTTGTCGTCTTGTTGTTGTTGTTGTTGTTGTAAACGAAATTTATTATTTATTTTAAATAGTAAATAATTACGTTACGGAAGAAACAACACTTGATCAGTAGCACAAAAATCAAAAGTATTATTATTATTATTATTATTATTACGATTATCATGATAGCCGTTTATTATTATTATTATTATTTTTCTCGAGAATATTTATATATCGATTTTATAAAAAGAAGGTAAATTTTGAGTTTGTTTTTTTTTTTTTTTTTTTTGTAAAAATTTAAGTAAATATATATTGTCAGTAGCAAAAATTTGCGACAAATAAATTTTAATCAAAAAGACTGATGGGGGCGGAGTCTGCGTCGGCGGCGGGGGCGGGGCAAAAAAATTATAAACAAATGCACGTGACTTATACCTTCTTAGACAATAAAACTTAATTTTTGTATTGTTTAATTAAAAAAAAAAATAATAATAATTTATATTTGATTATTATAATTATTATTATTATTCATTATTTTATGGATTTTATTAAAAATTGTTACTCGCATATTAATAAATTTAATTTTTTATTATTATTATTATTATTATTATTATTATTAAAAATCGATTTTTTTTTTTACGCAAAAAAATTTTTAAAAAATTAAAAAAAAAAAATTATACAAAGTGTAATTAATGAAGGATTTTTTTTGTTTTTTTGTTGTTTTTTTTGTAAAAAAAAAAATAATATTATGTTAATTATGTAAATGAAATTTTTTTTTTTTGCGGGGAAAAAAAAAAAAAAAAAAAAATTATTAATGAATAATGATGATAAAATAAGGAAATGTTGACATTGAGAGGGGCTTCTAAAAGTTAATTAGAAAAATAAAAACACACACACACAAGTTAAAAAAAAAATTTAAATTTGTAATTTTTATCATTATTATTATTATTATTATTTATAACGACGTTACAAGTATTGATTTTTCATATTTTTGTAAATTTATTATTATTATTATTATTATTATTAATTATTAATATAAATCGGTTACAAAATTGATTAAAAAAATAAATAAAAAAAAATTGTTAATTTATTAAAAAAAAAAGATTTAATGAAGGAATAATTTTAAATAATAATTAAAAATCAATAAATTAATAAATTATTATTAATAATATTAATATTAAAATAATTTATAAATCGAATTTTATTGATACAAAAATGTATAATTTTAATTTATTTAAAGAAAAAAAGAAAAAAAATTTTAAAAGTACAACAGCCATAAGTTTTCTTTTTTTTTTTTTTTTGTTGCTTTTGTACATTAAATAGATTCAGATAATTATTTTTTAAAAAAAAAAAAAAAAATCAATAAAATTAACATAAATTTTAATAATTTAAATTAACAAGTAAAGTTCAAGACATAAAAAATTTATATATTAACTTATCGTTGTTGTTGTTGTTATTACTTTTATTTTTGCAAAAAATAACTAACAATTGACCATATAATTAATTTATTCATTTAAAAAAAAAAAAATCATTCAATATTCGATTTAATATTTTTTTTTTCTTTTAGTCAAAAATAAAATTTTGATCGAGAAGGTTCTTCGTTTTTTACAAAAAAAAAAAAGTTTTTATTTTAGATTTTTTTATTGTGATTATTTTTTTTTTTTTTGCCACGGAAAATTCTATACGAAAATGGAATTTCAAGATGATGAAATTGTAATATCCGGTATTGGTGGTAGATTTCCAGAAGCTGATAATTTTGTTGAATTATCAGAAAAATTATTATCGGGACAAGATCTTGTTACTAAAGATCCTAGAAAATTAACAAAAGGTAAAAACTAAAATTAAAAATTAACAAAAATAAATAAAAAAATTTTTTTAATCGTTTTTCTTTTTTTTTTTTTTTTTTTTTTTAAAAAAAGGATATTTTGAAGATTTACCCGAAAGAAATGGAAGATTTAAAATTAATTCTGCACTTTTTGACTACACATATTTTGGTATATCTAAAATTGTTGCTTCTGCTATGGATAACATGATATGTCAATTACTTCAAAGAACTTTAGAAGCTGTTATTGACGCTGGTAAAATTTTTTCCTCGTTCCTGATGTTCAAGAACCATCAACTTCTCTTATCCCCCACTTTTAATAACGTTATTATTATCAAACAGGTATCAATCCGAGTGATTTGAGAGGTACTGACACGTCTGTTTTTACCGGTACCTGTCATTCGGATTCGGATTTGGAATGGTCTTCGAATGTTAAAGTCGGTTATGGTATAATGGGAAGGAATAGATGCATGAACAGCAATAGAATATCTTATTGGCTTGATTTAAACGGTTTGTTGTTAAAAAATTTAATTGTTTAGGTTGTTGTTGTTTAGGTTGTTGTTATCATTATTAAATTGTACAGGTACAAGTTATTCGACGGATTGTGGTTGGGCTAATGGTTTGTCAAATATTTGGCAAGGATTTAATGCGATCAAATCGGGAAAATGTGATACGGCAATCGTGGGAGCTTGTAATTTACAAAGTTTAGCATTGCCAACTATGCAAATAAAAGATATGGGATTATTAAGTTTGGACGGTTTGACTAGATGTTTCGATGATTCAGGTACGATGAATAAATGAATGATTATAATTCCCCCCCCCCCCCCGTGAAAAAGGTTTCAATTTTTTTTTTCTTTTTTAGCAAACGGAGGAACTAGATCTAGCGCGGTTGTGGTATTGGTACTCCAAAGAGCTTCCATCGCAAAAAGAATTTATGCCACTGTTGGTCACGTGTTATCAACAACTATTGCAAATAAAAAAGATGTCATCTGTAAACCCACTCAACAAGATTGGGAAGCTTTATTTAATGAATTTTACGAAGCATCAAAGATAAACGTTGATGATATTTATTACGTTGAAGCTCACGGTTCCGGCATGAAGGTCCGCAAATAATAATTATTATTATTATTACTTTTTTCTAATGTAATAAAAAATTATTATTGATTATTATTATTATTATCATTAGGAAGATGACGCATCCGAACTTAATGCATTGTCTAATTTCTTTTGTCGAAATCGGAAAACTCCACTTTTGGTGGGATGCGTTAAAAGTAATATGGGTCATTCAGAATCCGCAGCATCTTTGTGTGGAGTTGCTAAAGCGATAATAGCTTTTGAAAAAGAAATAATACCACAAAATTTACATTATGAAAAACCAAATTCGTTATGTCCTGCTTTAGCGAAAGGAACATTAAAAGTATTTTTCGTTTTTTCGTTTTTATTCAAAACTTCTTCTTAAATCATTTTTAAATAATTTTCTTTTTGTTTTTGTTTGTAGGTGGTAGATAAAAACACACCACTTCCTCCCAATGCGTGGATAGCAATTAATTGTCATAGTTTTAATGGAACGTATGGACACATCGTTCTCAAACCAAATTTAAAAAAAAGGATAATCAAAGATGATAAAATTCCCAGATTGGTTTTATTGGCGGACAGAACGATCGATTCAATGGGTGATTTGTTCGAAAAGGTTTTATTTTAAACAAAGCGAATTTTCCGTTTATACTAAGGTATTTTAATGTAAAAAAAAATGGTAATTGTTTAATAAACTATGTTTCAGGTGGAATCCGTACCTTACAATCCTGAATACATTGCATTATTGCACGAAATAAATTCGAAAAAAGTCGAAAGATATCTCGGACGAGGTTATACGATATTACCCGTACCTGAAAATCCCGTTCGTGAAAGTCAGGTAGTACTAATAACTCACTTTTTTTTTTTTTTTATATATAATCCGTTGTTTAAATTAAATAAAATTTTTATATTTAAGGCGTTCAACGAAGAAAAACGTCCGATTTGGTTTGTGTTTGCCGGAATGGGAAGTCAATGGCCGGGAATGGGAAAAAGGTTAATGGATTTACCTTTGTTCAGAGAATCAATTGAAAGATCTCATAAAATTTTACAATCCAAAGGTTTAGATTTAATTAAAATAATTACCGAAAATGATCCAAACGTTTTTGATAACGTTCTTCATTCATTTGTCGGTATTGCTGCCATTCAGGTATTGATTTCATCCATTGGAAAAGAAAAATTATTTTTAATTTTAAAGTTTTATTAAAATTGTCGTTTGATTGTCGTGGTCACAGATTGCATTGATTGATGTCCTTAAAGTTTTAAATATAATTCCGGATGGACTCATCGGACATTCTGTTGGTGAATTAGGTTGTTCTTTAGCGGATGGTTGCTTCACTTCGGAACAAATGATTTTAGCTGCTTACTACAGAGGAGTCGTCTCGAGAGAAGCCGATTTGATTCGTGGATCCATGGCGGCCATTGGTTAGAATTTTTTTTTTTTTATTTGGAAATATTCAATCGAATAAAAAAAAACAAATAAAATTTATTGTTTTTATTTTTAGGAAAGGGTTATAAGGACATTAAAGATGAATTACCAGAAGATATCGATGTCGCTTGTCATAATTCGGCCGATAATTGCACGATATCTGGACCGGAAGAATCCATTGAAAAATTTGTTAGCGAATTAAAAAAAAAAGAAATTTTAGCAAAAGCTGTTAACGTCTCACACATTGCTTATCACAGTAGATACATTAAACCGGCAGCTCCTAAACTTTTAGAATATTTAAAAAAGGTTTTTGTTGTTGTTTCAACAAAAAGAAATTTTTTTCGATTAAAAATTATCTTTATCTAAATTTTTATTCGTGTTTTAAGGTTGTACCTAATCCAAAATTACGTTCTTCGAAATGGATCAGTACTTCTAATCCGGAAGATAAATGGGATACGGACACTGCAAAATATTGTTCGGCGGAATATCACACTAATAATTTATTAAGTTGCGTCATGTTCGAAGAAGGTAGCAAACACATTCCGAAGAATGCTATTTGCATAGAAATAGCACCTCATGGATTATTGCAGGGTATATTGAAACGATCATTGGGTGAAGAAGTCACGAATATTCCTCTGACTAGCAGAGCAAGTTCGGATCCTCTGATATTTTTATTACAAGCTCTTGGAAAGTTAGTTTTCATAAAAACCAATAAATAATTTTTAAAATGATTAATAACTCTTTGTAATTATTTTTTTTTTTATATGTTTAAGGATGTACATGGCAGGTATAGACATCAGCATAATGAATTTATATCCAAAAGTTGAATTTCCAGTATCGAGAGGAACTCCTTCTCTAAATAATTTACAACATTGGCGTGAACAAAAATTAACACCATCACTCACTCCAATAGGAAACAAGGTTAAATAAATAAAATTATGTACACATATTTATTTATTTAATTATTTATTAAATTTAATGTAATTTTCAGATCGTTCATTCTTTTAAAAATCGACTCATGAAGTTGACCGACGATTGTACGGGAGTAATTATTAACGGGAAAAATAAATATCCGTTGGGAATTTTCCTGGTGAGATTTTAATAAATTAATAAGTAAATAAATAAATAAATTTTGTTCTCTTAATTAATGTTCGATAATTATTTGCGTTTTAGAATTTGTCTTGGGAATTATTTGCATCACAAAAAAAAATTTTGACGGATGAATGTCCGATATTAATACAAAATTTTAAATTGATTGATTACATCGACGTTCACTTATCGGGTACGATGTGGATTTTCTTTAATTTTCCTTTTTTTTTTTTTTTTTTTTGACATTAAGTCGTAGACATGAATTTAATTAACGCCATTATTATCGTTACAGAAAGCGATAATAAAACAATTTATTTTTTAAACGGTTCCGGAGATTTTGAAATTGTCAAAGGAGATCAATTTATCGGATGCGGAAACATAACGCCGCTCAAAGAAAAACCGTTACCGGAAAATAACGTTCGAATTGAAAAATACGATTTGATCGGAGATGAAATTTACGAAGAATTAAAAATAAAAGGATTTACGTTTGGGAAAAATTTTAAAATTTTAACCGGAGTTTCGTATAATTCAAACGGTATTAACATCAAATATTTTCCTAAATCCCCCCAAAAAAAAACGATTTTTTTTCAAACGCATTTTTTTTTTTTTAAATCGAAGGAATCCTAGCGGAAATTCCAGTGACGAATAATTGGAATCAAATTATCGAAGCCATGATACAAGTTCATTTACTTTTCATGGAAGATAAAACGGATTTAATGTATCTTCCATTATTTTTCGATCAATTGGAAATATCTTGTCAGAAACACATCGAATACACGAATTCTCTCAATCCCGGAAATGATCGTACGTTAATCATCATTTATTATTATTATTATTATTATTTTAACTTATCCTGAAGGATTCAATTTTCTTTTTAATAATGATAATAGGTTTAACGGTCGTTTACGATTACATAACGAATAACGTTAGTTGCGGCGGTCTCAATCTTAAAAGATTAAAATGCGTTGAATGTCCGAAAATAAGAAACGAATTAAGTTTTAAAATGTCGAGTTTTTTCCCATACACGAATCCTCCTTTGCAGGTAAACAGAAAATTTTTAAAATTCACAAAGAAAAGAATAAATTAATAATAATAATAAAAAATGAAAATTTTTTGTAGAACGTCATGGAATTTTCCGATTTTTGTTTCGGAATTATATTGGATAATTTGGACAGTGCGAAAAAATTTCGTGGTTTGAATTTGCTGGAGATTGTTGATAAAAATTCATCCATCGGTGAATATTTAAAAGAAATTTATTACGATGTCGAGGTGAGTTTGCGAACAAGATGGTCGTTTGTTACCAATCGTCGGATTGGATATTTAATTAAAAAAAAAAAATTTGTTTGAAATTACAGATTAAAATCAAAACGGTTTCGAATTTTTCATCCGTCAATAAAAATAATTTTAATTCTCTAACAACGGATTTTTGCATCGCTCCCTCGGGTTTTCCCGGAAAAGAATGTTTCGAATTTGTCAAAAATGGCGGTTTCGCTCTCGTTAAATCATCTTCGAAAATCGACGTTCCACCGTCGTGGGTCGTTGTTGCCAAATTTACCAATTCGAATAAACAAGAGTATTTGTTTTTAAAAAAGGTGGTGAGTTTAATTCATTTCTTTTACGTTTCGTATAATTATTATTAACAAAGAAAAAAAAATAATAATAATAATTTTTTTTCGTCTGCTTATTAGAATCAAACCGATATAAGAGATTTTGAATTCATCGACATGGACGAAGAATCGGAAAATAGTTTGATGAGTAAATTGAATGATTTAAAATCGTCATCGAAAACTACGGTTTTGATAAGTCGAAAAAAACGGGCGGAAGGGGTTGAAAAATTTAAAACTCATCTGCAATCGAAAATCGACGACGTACTTTTAAGGTACTTTTAACCGTTGAGTGTTACCAACATTAAAAAAAAAAAAAAAAAAACTTGGGGTTTTAACAAAATGTTGTAAATAAATTACAGATGGATTTTCATTTTCGATTCGAACGCTCCGCCATTTGACGTCAAAGATTTATTTTATTCTGAACAATTGAAAAAAGGTTTGATAACGAACGTTTATTCCGACGGTTATTGGGGTTGTTATTATAAATATAATTTCAACGATAAGAGGGAAGTCAATTTTAAATTGGAAGAAAATTCGGAATTGAAAACGAATTACATAAGTTTCGATCCGAGAGAAAGTTTAATAAAATTAAATCAAGTAAATTTTCAGTTTCAATGCGATTTATACTTATTTAAGAAAAAGAAATTATTAATTAAAAAAATGTTTTTTCAGGTTGAATTTTCCGGAAAAGTGAATAATAAAAGAGTGATGGGAATTAGTAAATTGGAAAATTATAGGAAAATAATACCGGAAAAATATTTGATTTGGGAAATGCCAGAATCATGGACTTTCGAAGATGGTGCCACGATTCCGATTTCATATGCTTTGGTTATTATTTAAATAATTTTTCCTTTTTTTTTTTTTCTTCTTCAAATCACATTTCCGTTGATTTTAATTTTTTCTTTTTAATTTTAGGCTTATTATTGTTTGGTTATACTCGGACGTGTTAAAAAAGAAGAAAATGTTTTAATTACGGATGCTTTGACGTGCATCGGTCAGGCTGCTGTTTCCGTCGCACTTTCATTGGGTATTAATGTTCACGTGACCGTCGGTAGCGATAAAGAAATGGCCGCCATTAAAAAATTATTTCCAAAAGTAAGAAATATGTTGATGACGTCATGTTATGTGACGTAAACAAAATGGAACGAAAATTTACAGTTGATTGTTTTAAAAAAATGAAGAAAATTGTTTAACGGATTAATTCATTTCGTTTTTTTTTTTACAGCTCGAAAATTCAAAAATAATGAATCACAACGAAGGAAAATACGGATCGAAATGGCAATTGAAAAATCCAGACAATTTAATGAGTTTACTTTTTAATACTTTGGACGGTGAAAAATTTTTTTCAATATTACCATTGGTTGCCGAATTTGGTAATATTTGTCATTTCGGAAAAGAAGATTTAAAGAAAAAAACAAAATTGGGTAAGCGAAAAATTGTTAATTTGATTATAAAAATGAAATCCTTTTTCGAAAAATTCTATTATTATTATTATTATTTCGTCTTCTGCAGGTACTTACATGTTTTTGTTAACGATGTCATTTTACGGTTTATCACCCGACGTTGTTATTAATTTACCAGAAGACGACAAGAAAACAATAAATCAATTAATTGGACGAGGTTTAAAAGATGGCGTCGTTAAACCTTTACCGAGGATCGTTGTCACCGTAACGGACGTTCAAGAAAGATTAGAGTGAGAAAATTTAATAAAAATTTTTTTCAAATTAATTATGGCAGTACTATTATTATTATTATTATTATTATTATTTATAGAAATTTGGCAAAATCGTCGGCATACGTGAAATCTTTGCTTAAAGTAGAAAATAAAAAAACGAATTACATTCAATTCGATTCGAAAAAATCTTATTTGATATTGGGTGAGTTGTTTAATTTTTTTTTTTTTTTTTTTTTTAAAAGTTGGTACGTGGTTTTAAATAAATTTAAAATTTTAGGTGACGAAACTGATTTATGGGTCGATATCGTGATGTGGATGCTCGAAAGAAAAGTGACAAACATAATAGTTGGAAGGAGGGACAAAACGAAAAGAAGTCAACTGCGAATGCCCATAATTAAAAACAATCAAAACGTTTTCGTTTTCGAACATCAAAACGTCGAGAAATTATTAAACGAAGCACGGAAATTGAGTCCTCTGTCGACAGTATTTTACTTATCCATGGTGAGAATAAAATCCGTAATTCGGTTTTATTTCAAAAAAAAATGATTTTGTTTTAAAAATATCGAACGGGGGTGGATCTTTTGCAGAATTCGACCGAAGTAAGTCCAACTTTATCAACTCTGGATAAATTGTACAGAGATCCGGAAGGTTATTTCGTTGCCGTAACGAAAACTCAAGGTTTACTATCGGAAATGTGCAGAGCGAGAAGTAAAAACGGTTTACCCTCGACGAATTTCATATGGGAAACGGAAACGGTCGAAATGACGTCACATTTGGAATCAATGGCAAAACTCAGCGGTCAAAGTTCGGTTGTTTACGTCACTCCACCGCCATTGCTCTCGGTTGCCGGTGATTATTTTTTTAAACAAACTTTTTCACTCTCTCTCTCTCTCTCTCTCTCTCTTGCGAACGTAACGCGTTTTTTATAAAATTTTTTAATTGCAGATCAAAGATTGAGCGATCTTTTACCGACGTCCATCGAAGATTTTTGCGAAATCGGTTCAACTTTAAGCGATAAAGTTGAAATAATTCCACTCAATACGGTTTGCGGACCGCAAAGAGACACACTGCAAGAAATCACTCCATTCATAATAATACCAGGTTTGCAAAAAGAACCTACGAAATTTCTCGAACCTTTCGTTTCCAATTTTTTATATCCGGCCGTTTGCGTTAAAATCCCCGACATGGAATTGTCGATACCACAAATGGTTAATTTCATCCTACCGGTAAGCGAATTGTTTCTCTCTCTCTCTCCATTCGAAATCCCTTTTGGTCATTTTTCTTTTTACCTTTTTTTTTTTTAGGAAATTGTAAAATTTAACAAAATAAATTATTACAACATAATCGGAATTCATTGGGGAAGTCATTTGGCGATGGAACTGACGAAACAATTGGAAGAAATCGGTGCCGTAGTAGGTTTGATATTGATGGAAGGACCCATTCAAAACGTTGAATCCCTCGTGACGAAATCACTCGAATGGGATTTTCTTAACATAATACAAGGAAAATTTAAAACGACGGCAGTGGATTTAAAGGTATAAAGAAAAAGGTTTGAAAAAGGTTGGAAAAGTATAAAACGATTATATTACTCATTCTTTGTTTTTTTTTTTTTTTTTTTTATCCAAGATGGATAACGAATCCCTTTCGAAGCTGAGTTGGAGAGGACAATTAAACACGGTTTTAACATCGTTAAATTTATCGGAGGAAAAAGAAAAAGATTTTTGCAAGGGTGCCATGTTTGTTTACAACAATTTGAAAGCACTTTTGAACCACGACGTTGCGAGCATTAAATTGAAAGGACCTTTTACCGTTATCGTGAGCGGTCAAAGGAATTTCGACGATAAGGACATATCAAAGGTAAAAAACAATAATCAATCACTCGTGATAATGATAATGATAATAATTCGCATCGGCAAAAAATAATTTTAATTAATTAATTAATTTTTTTTTTTTCTATTGAAATTAATAAAAGATATGCAGATCGATATCGATTCGAAGTTTTCCAATAACGACCGATGAATTATTCACGTCTCAAGAAGTTTGGAGAATAATTCAAGGTTCGGCCATATCACACGCCATGAGCAAAAACACGGTTCACGAATGTTCGTGGACGGCATTGGAAGATTTTATAAGCAGTAAAGATAATTCACAGACTTATCAAAATTTAAATTCTTGCAACGTCAAATTTTCATTTTCCTGTTGATTTTTTCGAAACGTAATAATAATCATCGTATGACGTAAACGTATTTTTCCTCCGCCTCCTCCTCTCCCCTCCCTCGGCTTCCTAAGCTCCTCCCCTCCCCGGATTATTCGCAAGTTAAAAATCAAAACGAGACAAGAAAGGAAAATGAGGAAAAGTGAAAAATGAAAAACTTTATAGAACGACAGGAACACACACACACTGGATAATCTTGATAATCCCGGATTAAGATTTGTCAGGTTAGTCTTTTGTTTTTTATTCTATTACTTTTTAAACTCGGAAAAATCAACCGGAAATTGTTATTATTATTATCATCACGACAAATGTAATTCATTATGATGATAATAATAATAATAGTAATATTGTTATAAATGCGGATAATTTTAAATAAAATGTATTTTTATCACTCTCTCTCTCTCTCTCTCTTCTCTTTTCTTTTTTCTCTTTTTCTTTACTTTTTTTTTTTTTTTTTTTTAATGGTTGTCGAAAACGTCATCATTTTATTCGTGATTATTAAAAAAAAACAATAATACCAACATTACATATAAAATTTTATATTGATAATAATAATAATAACATTTTAAAGCCCTAAAAATAAATTTCAATATGAAATTTTATAAAAAAAAAAAAAAACACATTTCGTGTGTGCGTGGGGAAAAAAAAAAAAATTTCCCCTTTTTCTTTTTGGAATGATTGATTGATTATTGATTGATTGATTGATTGACTGAATTTTTCCCCCTTGGTATTATTGTATAAATAAATAATATATATATATATATAAATATTTGGATTGAACGGTAATCGATTTGAACGGTGGATATTCGAAAAATTTTTCTATAATTCGATTTCAATTCGTCGACCGCCATCTTTTTTTCTTCTTCTTCTTTTTCCTTCATCTTTCTCTCTCTTTCTCTTTTTCGTTCGAAATCGTGACGTCAATAAACGATGACGATAACCGTTTTATTCTCATTCTTTGTCGTCGTCGTCGGCGTCGTCGATTTCAAGAAACGTTTTCGATGCAACTTTCATCTATGACGATCGTGTCGACGAAATCGTCATTGTCGCCCAAAGGTTTGTGTATGGGCGTACCGTAAACCCTTTTCACTTTCAAATTATGAACCCTTTTCAAATGTTTGACTTTGTCGTCTCTTCTCGCGTACGTGCAAGAGCACAAGTGACACTTGAAAGGACGTTCGCCCGTGTGTTTCGTCGAGTGTTTTTTCAATTCTCCCGGCGACACGAATTTATGATTGCAAACCGGGCAAACGTGTTTGAAATCTTTCGTGTGAAATTTAATATGTCTTTTAAGTTCGCTTTTCGTGTAAAACGACTTGCCGCAGAGAGGAGTGTCGCATTGAAATTCTTTTATTCCCTCGTGGGTTTTTATGTGACGTTCAATTCCGCTTATAGTGCTGAATTTTTTCTCGCAAAACTGACACTGGAGCATGGGACGTTCGGTCAAATGTCTCTGAGCGTGTTTTCTCAATATTCCTCTCGTCGTGAACGCTTCCGGACAATCCGTACATTTATAACTTCTTATGTTTCTATGGAGTCTATCTTCGTGACTCCTCAGAGCGACGATTCCTTTCAGGGATTGACCGCAGTAGGAACAAACGAATTTTTTACTTTGTTTCAAATGCCTTCGCTTGTAGTGATGATGAAGGTTCATTTTTCTAGGGAATATCTTTGGGCAAAGGGGGCATTTTATCGGGGATAGAGTGTTGTGAAATTCGGCAACGTGTCTTTTGAGATGATTGTTCGTCTTGTAATCTTTTCCGCATATTTTACACTTGTGACATATCGGACATTTCGTTTCGTGATTTGATAAATCGGTTTCGGATTTGAAAAATTCACCGCACGTCTCGCAACCGAATAAATTTTGAAATTGTTCCGTTTGTATTTCCATATCCGCGTTTCCCTCATTCGTAATACCTTTATTATCATTATTATTTTCTTTTTTAATTTTATTTATTTTATTTTCGTCCAATATGTTTTTTTCGTATGTTAATTCGTGTGCGTGACTCAAATGATTTCTAAGGGAATCGTTTGAGTCGAATGTCGAATAACAGAAAACGCATTCGTTATCGTAATTGGTTGACGAAAACCAATGATACGTTATCAAATGAATTTTTAAACTTTTTCCATCGATAAATTTTTTATCACATCCCACACAATCGATTTCGTTATCGTTTTCAACGACGTCGTCCTCCGCGTGATAGTATAGGGAATGAAGTGAGGATTCGAACGCATTCGAACTTATATTTCCACATATATCGCATATGAGATTTTTACTTTTTAAACTTCTCAAACCGTCCATTTCGTTGGGATGTTTCGAATGGATTTTTTCGCAGTGTTTAATCAACTCATTTTTTTTCAAATAAATCGAATCGCAATCGCAACAATTCCAAACGACTTTACAATTTTCAACTTGTGCCATCGTTTCTAAATTATCACCGTGTACTTTTTCTATGTGACTCCTGAGGGACGATTGTCTTAAAAATGGTCTGTAACATATTCTGCAATCGAACGAACCCACATCTCTTTGATCCGTTTCAATGTTTTTGTTCATTCTGTGCACGACTTCGAAGTGTCTGCTCGTGTTTTTTTTATTGAACGACAAACCGCAATATTTACAAGCGATCAATTTCTCACTTTCGATACTTTGATCTTTGCTTACTTTTAAATGTTTTAATCTTATGTGTGTCGATATTGCATTTTTATTATGAAATTTTCCACCGCAAACATCGCACACATATAATTCAGTTTTATTTGATATGGAATCATCATCATCATCATCATCATCATTTTTTGTACTTTCTAATTGATTGTTACTATGAACTGTGAGTTGATGAATAATAAATTCATCATCATTTTTAAATGCTTTTAAACAGTCGCAACAATAAATTTTATCAGGAGTGGAAATTTCTTCTTCTTCTTCTTTAATGATTTTATTTTCATTTTTATTCGATTCTTCTTCATTATCATAAATAACCTAAAATTATAATTATATTATTTTTGTAATCGATGATTTGTTTTGCCAACTATCGACATTACATATCTAAAACAGGGTAAACTTAAAGTAAATTTAAGGGTGAGAGTATTTATCGAAGGGATATTCGCAAGACAACTTATTGTAGGCATAATAATACCTTTTTGGTGACAACGTTAACCCCAAATTCTGATAAAGCAGCTATATAGCTTTCATTTAAAGCAGCTTGATTTGTTTGACACTGATTAAAAAATTCATAAAATTTTTCTACTTGTGCTAAACAATTATAACAAATCCATGATGGAAATCCATCATTTTTAACTATCTGAAAATAAAAAAAAATTAATTATTTCGTGTAAAACGTTTTAAAACGTAGATTTTAAATAAATTTTTATTTAGTCGAATAATTTATACGCATTTTTTTTAAATTTAAATTTATGATTACGTTTGATTTTCGTGCCGTTTCACTAATTAATTAATTTTATCGTAGTTTTAAACGTGAATAATAATAATAATAATAATAATTACCGCAATTGACATAATATCGAAAATTTTTTTACGTATGGATTCATTTTCGCTTTCGAGTAATGAATCCGTTGAAAATAAATTAATAAGAACAACATCACCGGTTAAACACAGCCTACAAATTTTACCAAAATCAACAAATATTTCTTGAGATGTCGTTTCTTCCATAATACTCAAAGCACAAAAGCTTCGTTAATGCTACGAAAACAATGCCAGAGGTAATATTCAATATGCTAAACATTATTATTTATTATATCTATGACTTGAAGTGGCATTAGACAATTATTCAAACGACACACAAACGTTAGTTTTACGGACAGACGACAGATAACAAGTTGAAACATGAAGATTTGATTCTTTTTTTAACGGAATTAATTCTCATAATTTTAAAAAGGTAAGATTATTTTATAATTAAATCACATAGAAAAGAAATATTTAATCGTAAATACATTTGTTTAAAATGTTAATTAAACATAAACTTAAAATTGACGACATTTTTTTTTTTTTTTCAACGGTTTTATTATAATGGTTCTTAACGTATAAACGCCATTTTTCTTTCATTTTAATTTAAATTTTCATTGTTTCATAAATTCTGGCAAATAATTACAATTTAACTCATAACTAAATATATAATAATTTCAGTGAAGTATAAAAGCGTATCTTTGGTATCGTATGAAAAAGCTTCAACTTTTACCCTAAAAAAAAAAAATTTTTTCAGTTATTTCAAATTGAATGAATAAAAAAAAAAAAATTTTTTTTTAAAGCAAAATACCTGTAAAGTGTTTTAGAATTTAATTTTCTTATCGGATAAAGAAAACTTCTTTTATCATTAGATAAAATAACTTGAAAAATTTTTTTTGATTCAGCCACATAAAATTTAGTTTTAATTACATTAATTTCATTTTTTATTATTTTATCAAGTGGTAAAATATTTTTATAATTTAACGTTGCCGGATAATATATAATGGATTCCATTATTTCAGCTCCTTTTGTACAATTTTTAGTCATTTTGCATAATTTTGTACATGAACTGCATAAGAAAAAGAAACCAGTTTTATATAATTTCATTAGAAAACTAAACTTTCTTAAAGTTTAAACTTACAAATCCGTTAAATTTCTTTTATAACTGGGAGGACATGGTGAACTTATACATTGAAAATATCCAGGTAGATTAACACATGTTTCTTCTTTGTCACAAACATTTGGAATTGTTTCACATTCATTGTAATCTAATATTAAAACAAAATTTTTTTTTTTTTTATTAAAATGTCTTATTCCTTTATTTACAATCAATCAATCAATCACATTTAAAAACAAAACATTTACCTTTGCATTTATCATTTTTCAAATAGTAACCAGTTGGACAAATTATTTTTTTTGTACCTGTAAATTCTTGATAGTCGCCATTAGCAAATTCTTGATCCCGAAGAAAAAAACTCTCGTTTGATTTTACAACATCGTTATCGTTATCATACAATCCAAAATATTCTAAAATAAGCATTAATAATAATAATAAATTATATTTTGTTTTAGGGAAAATGTGTGTGAACGTACCAACGCAATGTCTCCTATCGTGATTTAAATAATAACCAAATGGACAAGAACAAATGTAAGAACCTGGAATGTTGTGACAAAAATGTGAACAGGCATCGTATTTTCTAAAACATTCATCAACGTCGATGCAATTTTCTTCAAACATTTCATAACCTTTACGACAAACGCAGGAAAAGGATCCGAAGGTATTTTCACAAATTTCATTTTTACCACAAATTGTATCTTCCATCATTTCGCATTCGTCAACATCTGAAACGTATAATGAATTTTAAAAATCCAACGAAATAATAATAACATGAATTTTTTCAGGTACGAACCTTCGCAGTGTAAAAATGTATCATTGTATGAAAATCCAATGGGACATACATTTTTATAAAATTTTTTTCCTATCGTCGAAAATGCAGAATATATCATATTTTGAGATTGTGGATCGTACCTGTTTGTTATGTTGTCGACGGTTAACTTTTCAACGAGGTACCTGAAAAAAAGAGAAAACGTTGGAAATGAAGGATGATGAAGAAAAAGGTAAGAAGAAAATTATTATTATTATTAATTATTTACGGCATTGTCCCTCTATAATCGTCGTATTGAATGGTATTGTTCCAATAATATGGTATATCCCGTCCCTCGATGGTAACATTGCTCTGAGTGAATGAATAAAGGTTTCTAGGTCCAGATTGTATGAAATCTTGTTCAATTGGTTGTATGTATATGTGTGCGTGTGGTTCGAATTGCGGTACCTCTCCAGAAACTTCTATTTCCACGATAAACGTTCTATTTTGATCGATTCCATCGCTTTTGTGTTTCACTTGTAATTCTTCTCCTATTTGAAAAAAAAAAATTTTTTTTGGAAAAATGGATTCGTTCATCATTAATTTAACAAAAGAAAATTTTTTTTTCTCTTTGTTACCCGTTGAAAATTTAATGTCGGATTGTGAAAAAAAATTTCCATTCGTTAATGAAAATCCATTATTGGCATCGTCAGTTTCTCGTGCCGTGTTCCAAGACAGTGGCGAAAGAAGGAATGGCGAGTAGGGAAACCATTTATCGCGTTTTAATAAATTACTCGAATTCGTCGATATTTTACTTTCCCTCGTATCGAAATTTTCTATTTTAACATCCATTTTTTCATTTATTATTTTACCGTTTAATCGACCTTTGACCCTTAAATCAGCAGACGATGGTATTTTTTTGGTATTCGAACATGATTTTAAATGACATTTTCTTATTTGAAGATTTTCACCGTCGCACGCGTCATTTTCTCCATCCGATAGTTTACACATCCTTATTCTTTTACGAAAACCTCTACCGCACGTTTGCGAACATGGCGTCCATTGACTCCAGGGTAACCAAATACCTGGTTCTTAAGCATAAATTTCAAATTTTAATTTATGGCAGCTAATTAAAAATTTAATGTCGGGTTCGATTGGTTAGTTTTACCTTCGCATTTTCGCAAATTGCAAAGGATGATTTCGTGATCTGAACCCAAACATTCTTTCCCGCCATTTTGTGGCGGAGGAGAATCGCATTTTCTTATTCTTTTCATTATTCCATTATCGCAAGTTTGCGAACACGAACTCCATTCGGACCATTCCGACCTTAAAAATCAATCAATTTAAACTTCAATCGAATCTCAGTCGAATCAATCAAATTCAAATCAAAAAAAAAAAAAAAAAAAAAAATTTTTAATGATATGAAAACTAACTTCGTTCTTACCAGTGTCCATCTCTCGGGCAATCATTTTCATAACATATTTCTTCTTCTGTATTGTTACCTTTGCAAATTTTTTCCGTGTATTTTATTTTCGGATGACCGCAATATCTGTACCTTTTGCGAACGCCAGAACCGCACGTGGTAGAACACGACGACCATTTTCCCCAATTGGACCAATTTTTCGCGATCTTTAAATTTAAAATCCACTTAATCTCTTACGAAACTTTAAAATATTTATATAAATATTTCCTACCCGACATTTCCCCGAACAAATTCTTTTGTCTAAATTTTCTCCTTGACAAATCGTTTTTAATTTTCCCTCGTTTTCTTCCCGTTGACAAATTCTTTGACGCGTTTGTTCACCCGGACCGCAAGAAACGGAACAGGAAGACCATTCGGACCATGACGACCACACACCGGAAACTGTTAATTAATTATCGTTAATCGTTTGAAATATTTAAAAAGATGAAGGATTTAATTAATATTTAATTACCAAAACTTTCAACGTTGTAGTTATAATTTTCAATTTCGTTTTCACGTCTTATTTTACACGTGTATTTTCCAATATTTTCCAATTTAAACGGTGAAATTATCAAATCCGATCCATTCGAAGTTCTTATTTGTTCGTATGTACCTTCTTGTAAAATTCTATCCCCCTGTAGAAAATCATCGTCGAAATTCGTTTAAAAAAAAAAATAATAAATCGGAAGTTGAGTCGGTGGTACCAACCTTAAACCAAGCAATTTCGTAGAATTCTTTACCATTTACCGGACAATGCAAAACTAACGTTTCGTTAAGTCGTATTAGTTTGTTGTTGTAATTTAAATCGTTTGTCGGTGAAGATTCTAAAAATTATTTTAATTAAGTCAGTTTTGTATGAGGTACCGAATGAACTTTTTTAATGGCGACTCACCGGAAACGTTGACAATGTGAAAAACAGACGCGCGTCCTATTTCGTTCTCGGCTTTACATTCGTAAGATCCCAAATTCGTTATATCGATCCATGGAATTTTCTTTTAAACGACAAAATCATTTTTGAAAATTTTATTATCCATTTGTTGTTTGTTTAAGGGAAAAATAAAAAGCTCACCAATATTTTACCATCCCTCGATATCATCTCGTAAGAATTATTTACGATTTGAATTAGAGAATGATACCACGTGTATTTGGTACCAGGTGGATCGGTTATGTCGCAGTTCAAAGTTAACGAATCCCCAATTCGAACTTTATAAAATTCTTTTGATTTTCCATAAATTTTTGGCTCCTCTTTAAAACAAAAACATTTTTTTTTAATTACATTAGGGGGGGTGGGGGGAAGGGGGCGTTCGAAAAAACTAAAAAAATGAATAAACTCACCTAGTACGCTGACATTAAACGTAAAAGCGGATTGCCTTCCATAAGATTGAGTTACGCATACATAAATTCCAGAATGTTCGTACGATGAATTTTTTATTATCATTTCTTTACCGGAAATGAAAACGTTTTTCTCGTCGACGATTTTTATTTTGTTTTCCGCCGTTATCCACATAACGAGAGGATCTCCTTCGACTGGACATTTAAGTATTATCGGTTGAGTTTTTTTTATTTTAATCCTTTTTATTTTATTTTTTATATTTTCTTCTAACGTGTCAGAAACTAAAATTTTCATTCGATAAGTATAAAGTATTATGATGATGAGGAGGTATCGGAAAAAAAAAAAAAAATTGAAAATTATCAACAACCTATAACGTTAATTTTAAATTTTTTTTCAATTATTCCAGCTTTATTAAATGCCAATAGGGAATATTTTTCATTATCGTTTTTTCCTTTTTCGTCTGCTAACAACAAAAGAGATATTTTTTCTTCTTCTTGTTTTTTTTTCCCATCGGAAAATGATCTTTTTGTTCTGTTGAAAATTCCCGTATTACTACGAATTGTCATTCCAGTAGGCTTGGAAAAACCGTTCGATTTACATTTCGTCGTTGAATTTTCATCGAGTATATTGTTAATCCCATCATTTTCTCCAGAAGAATTTTCTAAAAATTGATTCGAATTTGTCGTAATAATAATAATAATAATTAACGGAAAAAATTCAATTGAAAAAATTACCTAAAACAATAATTTCAAAATATTTAATTCTTGTACCCGCCGAATTGGCAACAATGCAATGATAAGTTCCGCCATCGTCGCATTTAACGGAATTTATTTTTAATACGTTTTTATAATTTTTTAATCTGAAAATAAAAGTATCATCGATAAAGTTGAAGGCAAATACAAAATGGCGGCTTCTTCCCCTCCCCCCCCCCGGTACCTGGTTTTTACAGGATTATTTTTCATCCAAATATAAGTCGGAGATGGAAATCCTGAACTTTTGCAATCGAGCGTCACGTCGTGTCCTTTCATAACTTTAACGGTTTCTTTTATGGTGCCCAATATTTGCGGTGGTTCTATATGATAAATTAATTAAAATTATTAACGCTTCGAAAATAAAATGGCGGTAGGGAAATTAAAAAAAATAATAAATACCTAAAACAGTTACGTAAAATTCTCTTTCTTTCGCGTTGACTTTATTTATGGCGAGGCATATGTAGGTACCCGTGTGATTGACACGACCGTTCGTTATTATCAAATGTCCCTCCTTCGTTATTTCGATACCTGAGGTATCGTGCGGCGTTATCGAAGTATTTTCTTTTCTCCATATAATTTTCGGGAGCGGATTACCCGTGACGGAACAATTTAATATAACTTCACCCCCCGTCAATATCGTTCTGTGTGCCACGTGATTAAATTCTTCAAAATGAGGCGTCATTAGTATATCGACGAAAAATTTCGCATCAGTTCTTTCTGCCGAATTCGTTGCTATGCACGAATATATTCCCTTATCCGCCGGATGTGCTTCCATTATTGTCAAAGTTCTATGATCTGAACTTAATTTCAATTGCGCTTCGTCTGAACGTTCTTGAAACGATGACGGAAACGGTTTATTATTCTAAAACGTTTTTCTCGATAATTTAATTTTTAATCGAATCGTTTTTCTTTTTTTTATTTTCGGTAAAATAATTTTCCCGATACCTTTATCCATTGTATTTTTGATGAAATCGATGGTATAAGTAACGGACATGTTAAAGTGAACGAATCCCCTTCGTTTATTTCGAGTTTTGTTAAATGAAAATCAGGTATAGGTATTGGAATCGTTACTGTGACGTCATATTCTTTAAATGCCATACCTTCCGAATTGATAGCTTCGCATTTATACAATCCTTTAGTTTCTTCGTCGATTTTTAAAAATATCAACGTGTTGTCATCCAAAATCGATAATTCTGGAATGTCAAAAGAAAAGTCGTTACGTTTTGTACCCGCGTAAAAGGAAAATTAATTTACGTACCCGTTTGATGTTCGTGTATTGGGATCCCGTTTTTTTTCCAGATGACGACTGGAATAGGATTACCTTCCGCGGTACAATCAATCGAATATTCTTCACCCATATTTAAAATCAATGATTTACTCGCGTTTTGATTATCTATAATCGTCGGGGGATCTAAAAAGACAAAAAAATTCGTTAAATCCGCGAAAAAATCCGCGAAAAAAATCCACGGTTTAAATTTAAATTTTTTTATTAATTACAATTAACGTAAAGGTAATAAGTTTTTTGTGCTATTCCTCCTAAATTTTCAGCATCGCAAGTATAAGCTCCGGCTGATTCTTTTGTAACGTTTTTTAAAACCAACATTCCAGAATCTTCTATGATAACGTCGGTTGTATTTTGAGTCAGGTACATTCCATTTCTTTGCCAAAGAATTGTAGGTTTTGGAAAACCCGATACTTTACACACAAGAGTTATCGGAAAACCCGTTTTTCCTCTGATCGGTTTTTCATTGAATTCATTGATTATTTTCGGTGGTACTAAAATACATTTTGTTATATCAATTTTTTTTTATTATTTGATAACACTCACGCATACCTAACATACCTAAAATAGTCACGTTGAAAATTCTTGATGTCGAACCTGCCCAATTTGTTACGATACATTTATATATTCCATTATCGTCAGTTTTAGCTAAAAATCTATTTAAAAATGGTTGTTAACTGGTTGTTTTTGTTTTCTTGTTTTTTCTACAAGAACGTACCTTAAAATTTTAGGTTGTATGAGATTGTTTAAAAATGGTTCGTCATCTTTAAACCATTTAAATATCGGTTCTGGCGTTCCGCTCGCATTACAATTCAATACGACCATGTTACCCTCGACTATGTTTATTGGTAAATCTTGTAATACGTCATCAGCAAACGTGGGTAAAACTAAAATTTTTTTCAAACGTTAATTTTTATTTGTTTAACGACCGACAGGGAAAAAAAAAAAAAAAGGTTTTGTTTTACCTTGGACTTGAACGGACGTTTCTTTTTTAACGGATCCCAATGAATTTGAACCCGTGCACGTGTAAATCCCCGTGTTTTTTTCCGTTAAATTTTTTATTATCAAACTTCCCTTTTCGTCTTGAAATCTGTTTCGATGAGGGAATAATAATTATTCATCTCGCAAATAAATCGTTTAAAAAAAAAATTTTTTTTAATCTTACATTGATGACGACATTGGTAGTGGTTTATCATCTTTGGTCCAGGTTATGATCGGTTTGGGATACCCTTTGACAGGACATTTTATAATAACTTCCCCACCTTTGGGAGGATTGTATTTTATTTCTTTTGCGTCGGTAATTTTTGGACTTTCTGAAAAAATAAAAAAAAAATGTTTAGTTACGATGTAATACGCGGATTAAAAATTAAAACTAACCGGATATGACGATGTTCGATTCGCGGGAAATTTTTCCAACGACGTTTTCAGCAACGCACGTGTAAATTCCGCCATCTTCACCTTTCGAATCTTTTATTTTTAAATCTCCAGAATCGTTCCATGATATTTTATCCGTTTTAATTAATTCCACGTCATTTTTAAACCATTTTACTTTTCCCGGAGGATTACCGAGTGAAATTCCACACGGTATGATTAATTCCCCGCCGGAAATAGTTTTGATTTCCGTTTCGGAATCGTTTTCGATCGTAGTAGGTTTTTCTATAGGATTTTCAAAAAAAAAAAAAAAATGCGTTTTTCATTTTTACCGAGAGAAAATTACAAAAAAAAAAAATTTCAATTCCTTACCAATTCCGGTAACATTAATAAAAATTTCGTACGTGTTATTACCGAAAACATTTTCAGCTATGCATTTATACTTTCCGCCATCTTGATAAATTGTACGAATTATTTTTAACGATCCGTTCGGAAGTATAAACATTCTGCTCGGATCGATATTTTTCCCGTCGGATCTTTTCCATTTTATTTCGGGTAAAGGTACGCCAAATGCAGAACAAGGTATCGTTCCTGTTTGATTGATATGTATCGATTTTTCTGCAAAAAACATTTTTAAATTGTTTTTTTTTTTTTGTTGAAGCGATTGTTTGTTTGTTTGTTTGTTTCAATTACTTTTTGGTGCTCGTAAAAATGTCGGAGATGATCCTACTGTAAGACCTATATGATCTATAGCAAATCCTGCATCGTTAGTTGCCTTACACGAATATTCTCCAGAATCCGTTACGTTCGTCGATTTAATGGTCAAACTATCTTCTCCCATCTGTTCAAAAAAAAAAAAAAAAAAATTTCAATTAGTTTATCACAATTTTGATTGACGTCATTCATTTTCCAGTTTAAAATTTTTTCACCTCGTATTTTGATTCGTTAAAATTTTTCCCTTTTGAAAACCACGTGATATTAGGTTTGGGTTCTCCAGTTGCAACGCATTTCATTTTAATATTCGTTCCAGATTTTATTATCAAATTATTTTCTTTTGCTTTTATCGTTGGACTTTCCCAATAAATTAATTTAACGGATGACGATGCTGGAAATGGAAATAGTTAACGGAGGAGAAAAAAATCTTCTTATTCTTACTAAAACATGATTTTACCTGATTCTTGTTCGTTGACTGCATTACACGAATAAATTCCAGCATGTTTTTTATCCAGGTAATCGATGACCAAATTTAAATTTTCATTTATTTCTTCGAATATGACGGAATGTTCCTAAAAATTTAACGTTCATTTTTTTTTTTTTTTTTCGTGTCAAAGCGTCAAATTTGTTTGTTTGTTACCTCGATAGGTTGTTGATTTTTTGTCCATTCGATTTTGGGTCGAGGTTTTCCAGACACCGAACAATTCAATCTAGCAAAATCTCCAGTGACGTAATTTAATAAATTAGGTTCGACTTTTACCGTTAAAGGTTCTTTAATTATTAATAAAACTCGTCTCTGAGATTCTCCGGCGTTATTTTTTGCCACGCATATATACCAACCTTCGTCTTCTGCTTTTACTGTTTTTATATAGAGAGTATTATTAGGCATTTGTACTCCCGTTGATGAAGGATGTAGGGTTCCTGAATTTTAAAAATATTATCGAAATTAATTTTCATTTCATCCTTTTCGAAAAGGATTTCTTTATATCCTCACCCGAATGTAAATTTTTAACAGTGAATTGAGCCCACATAACCGCATATGGAATTTTACTATTAACCCTACAATCAAGATGAACTGATTGTCCCAAAACAGCAACAACCGATTGATTGACTTCCACGTAAGGAGCATCTCCTATTAAAAAAACGGTTATTACCTTTTCGTTTGTATTTTCCATATTTATAAAAAAAAATTCTAAAATCGAACTAACCCGTTACCGTGAGTTGTAATATTTTCTTATTGATACCCGCCACATTATTAGCCTCACACGTGTATTCACCTTCCGATTGGAAAGTAACCTTATCGATAACAAAAATGGCTTCGCACGTTTCGCTAAAAAGAATCCCGTTTAGAAATTAATTATCGAATTTTTTAACTGTTGGTATAAATTAATTAATTTTACCTGCAATTTTGTTCTTTGTTTAAATATTTTCCATTTTTATACCATTTGACGGTAAAAGGTACGACAGATTCGACGTGACATTTAATCACTCCTACAGCATTTATTTTACCCGTGGCTTTTCCTTTCATTGTAACGATAGGCCTTTCCGGTAATTGACCGCTAATTGCTGTCGATGTTATACGTTTTATAGGAAAACCATCACGATCGAATCCGTTTATCTTTTAAAAAACCGTTAAATCCGCGTTTATGTTTAATTCGAAACAATAATTACTTACCATTAAAAGCTAAAAAAAATTTACCCTTAAGTAAAAAAAATCATTCGGGGATGTAAAATTTCCTCCCTCGTATAAACCTATCCTACCATTCACTCCTCTCAATTTAACATTGTCAATGACGTCACCGTTCAAATTAACAAAATCCATGTTTGTTATGTTGTATATGTGTTCGTTGTTTGTCGTTTGTATTAAAATATGAGATTTCGAACCTGAAATTTTATTATTCAATTTTTTTTTTTTCTCTTATTTTATTTATTATGAAAATTTCTACGTGACCTTTTCTGACCTTTCAACGGCCTGTTACTCGTTTCTTTTATGTTGTGCGTTTTTATCGTCGAAAACCCATGATTGAAATTTAATTTGCTTAAACCCGTCGATTTGATCGTGTAATCAGAATCGCTTTTAACTTTCACGTTCCACGTTCCCGGATTCGGTTCGTTTACGTTGACAACTTTTATATTATCTAAATTTAATACTTTTTCTAATCTCGGAGGTCCGTCAATTATCGTACCTGAAGTCATTATTATTATAACATTAACTCGTACGTTTTTAGGGGTAATTTTCTCTTCGTTTATCCATCATTAAACCTACCGTACGGGTCTCCAACGTCGATAGTAGCATTCAAACCGGAAACGGATATTGTAAATTGTTTGAGAGAATCATCGACGATAACTTGAACGTTATCCGGCGTCCCATTAACCGGTCCCGGTTTTTTTAACGAAATCAAAGACACGACGTGAGATTGAAGTGCGACTTTAACGTATTTCAATACCTGACGATAATAATAATAATGATGACGTTTAAACGCGACGGGTTTGAAAATAGTTTTCATTTCCGGTCTTACCTCTTCGACTTCTTTTTTTTTAAGATTGTATATTTGTCCCGAACTCGTTTCCGCTATTTTTTCATAATATTTATAATCTTGACTTTTCGTATCGATGCATCCTTCGGTTATTATGAAAACGACTTGAGTTTTTTTTTGTTGTACCAATGTGATGACGTCACTTATCAAATGATAATCTTTTGCTGGAGCATCAGTGAAAACGTATACGTATGAATGTGGCAAACTTGATTCCAGAGCTTTTTTTATTGCTCCTATCGATACTTCCGGACAATCTCCTCCCCCGACGGCAAATACGTTACCCATTTTTTCTTGGAAAATATCGTGATTTGTCGTGACCGTGATCGGACCGATAACTATTTTTAAATTTTAAATTATTTCAGCCATTTTTTGTAAAAAAAAAGAAAATTGCTCAATAATTTTTTTTTTTATCGTTAAAAAAAAAATTTTTTTTTTTGCTTGCTTATCGTTTCGCGTAGGAACCAGTGCAAAAATTTAACTTCTTTACAATGTTGATAATTTTGATAACACGAAAACGTTATGAATTTGTTTATCAGAGCGCGTTAAATAAAAATTTCAGTTAAACAAAGAGAGGGGGGGTAGGGGGTTAGGAAAATTTAAAACAATTCCTACGTACCTGGATCGTTAAAAGGTACCCAAATATAATTATATATAGGATTATCCGTATTATTTCTTATAGTTTCTAATATTTTTTTAGCACCCGTTTTAACTTGATTTAATTCATCTCTCATCGAACCAGTAGAATCGAAAACGAATGCCAACGAAGAACCTCCGCCATTATTTTTTTCATCAATTAAATCATCTTCGAATCCATTTTCCGTTAGTAAACTTTTCCATAAAAATTTCGAATTTAAATTTTCGTAAATGTTATCATCGTTTGGATTTAATATTGGTTCGTCTCCTAATAAATCGTAATTTTCCCTACTTTTATTTCTATAGAAATTCAATAAATCTTTCCATTGATTATCGATTTTTATATCCTCCTCCTCATCATCGTCGCCATTCACGCTTAATAAACAATTAATAAAATTTATTAAAAAAAAATTAATTAATATTATTTTAATACGAAACCGGAAACTCATTTTGTAAGATTCAAAAAGTAACTGGGAATCTCCTACATACAATTAAAATCCTTGACAGTGAGAAAGAGAGAGAGAGAGAGAGAGAGAGAGAGAAATCCCACATTTAATTTTCAAGGGGTCAATTCAAATTATTCCGACGTTGATTTTTCATTATACTCCATTAATTAAATTCTTTTCTCTCTCTCTCTCTCTCTCTCTCTCTCTATCTAATCCGTTCATTGAACGCATTTTTTAACGTGCCACTCACGTGTGTTTTTTGTGTGTTATGAATGAATGTAAAAATTGAAAAGAAATTATTTTAAAAAAACAACAGCAAAAATTTTCTCCCACACTTTGATGCAAAAAAAGTTTTTTTTTTCCGTGTGTCTGTGTGTGTGTGTGCGTGTGTTTGTTTTCTGTGTACTTTGTCCTCCCTCCTTCTTCCTTTTCATTCATTTTTTTTGTAATGACGTCATCAAAACCGATTGACTGATTGTAAATAATTTCCTAAAAGGAAAACAAATGAAAATTGAAAATTAAATAATTTAAAATAATAATTTTTTATTTATTTATACATAATAATAATAATAATGATAATGATAAATTTTACAAAATATTATGTGTGATAAGACTTATCAAAAACTTTTTTTTTTTTTCACAATTCATTTGTTTTTCTTTTACAAACAGTACTTTCTTTAACAGACAGTTATTGGTGATGGAAAGAATTACTGAGTGAATAATCGAATGTTGCGATGGAATCTAAAAAGAAAAATTTGCACTTGTATGGGGAAAGCAAAAAATTAATTTTTCGATATTATGAATGAATGAGAGGATGAATGATCCATTTTGTTGGGATCTCCTATCACGGTTTCCAAATAATTAAATATGGCTTTCATTTCTTTCCTGTAATTTTTATAAGTTGTTTTATTTTTCGAATCCATGGTATTGATGTCGTTTTTAATTTTGTTACATTTCGATGATAAATCAAGGTTGGCAGCAATTATTTCATCTTTTTCCCCAGAATCTTTTTTTATTTTAACAATCATTTCCGAATGATTCGTTTTGAATTCATCTATTGATTTTGTTATCGCTACAATTTTCTCTTCTTCCTTTGCTGTTATGTTATCACGATGTGTTTTCAATTGTAAATTTTCTTCTTTTAATTTAGATAACATTTCTTGAGCTTCTGCTAATTTTTGATCATATTCTAATTCTTCATCTGCTAATTTTTTTTTCTTTTCCATCAATTGAGTAATGGAATCGTTCAGGCTTTGAAAACCTTTGATTTTATTATTGTGGGGATCTGAACATTTTTCTTCTCTCAATATAGAGTTTAATTTTTGTTGCAATTCTAATATTTTATTACTTTGTGTTAATTTGTGAGATGCCATTTTAACTTGTTCTTCTAAATTTTTCATTCTTTTAACGCATTCATCTTTTTTAGTCGAATATTTTTCATAAATGTCTTGCACTTGTCTCTCATCAGACACTATTAAACTTTCAAAATATTTTTTTTCATTTTCTACGCTTGTCAATGATGCTTGTAATTTTTGTTCTTCTTCTTCTATTTTTTCCAATTCTTTTTTTACTAATTCTTCTTTACTTTGTAAATCTTTCATCGTTACTTCCAGGGCTTCATTCGCTTCGACTTTTGTCCTCACTAGTTTTTTCTTGTCAGCATAAGATTCTGCATAATGACACTTTTGAAATTCAAGCTCTTTTAATTGTGTCATTAATTTTTCTTTCTGAAGTACCAAACTTGTTTTCAATTCTGATTTTTTTATACACGAATTAATATCATTATTTAACTCATCAGCAAAATCGTTTGTGTACCAATAAAAGTTTAACATCAATGCCATAAAAACAAAAGATCTCCGGGGTGTGTTTTCAGGAAATAATATGTCACTGTAAACGAATTCTGATCCATTTTCACCTAAATGATTAAATATGTATTTGATTGCTGAATGTAAATTGTGAGCCCATACATGTTGTCCGAATGATACAGCTTCGGCATGATAAGAATTTATATAAGCTCTTTGATCTTCGGTTATGTTCCATATTTCATCCGGATCATTCAATTCTAAAATATTTCTCAACATTAACGAATAAAACGATATGACGAATTGAGATGTGGGATGTGCTAAATTGCTTTTGGTTATTTTAAAATTAGGAAAATCTATCGCCATGCATTCGATAAAACGATCTTCCGTTATTTCTCTATTTTCCATATTGAATAATTATCACACTTATTTACGCAATAATAAATTCGAATAAAACTCAGTTTTGTTTCAAGATTCGTTAAAAATACTGTACTCGAGTTAATACTAAAGGCAATGTTTACGTCGTCGTGGTAGCAGAATGGGCGACCGTTAAAAAAAAGCGCGGAATAATAAAAAAAATCCATTTCACTTAAAATTTATTTTCTCTATGACAGTGTTAAAACAATTGAAATCGTTAAGTCATAATTTTTTATTTCAATAACTAACTAATTAACTAGTTTGTTATAAATAAATTAAAACATTATAATTCAGTTTTGTTTGTTTTTTATTTATAGATGTGAGTGAATAAAAAACAACGTTTGCATTACAAATTATCGGTAAGTTTACTTAAAATTTTTCAAATTATTAGGATGTAGTAACCATAAAAAATAATAATAATAATAATTTTTTTTTTATAAAAAAAACGTTATATTTTAAAAAAATAAATTTATCGTTACATTTTTTCATATATATATAAAATTAAAAAGTAACGTACAACAATTACAACTTGATCAATTTATTATTATTAGTATCGATTTGATAAAAGGCAATTTTTTTTAGTTATAATTAAGGCGTCGAGAAATTTCTTAAATTTCGTTAAAAAAATATGGCGTACATCTCCATAAAATACAAAATTATAAAAAAAAAAAAAAAAAATCAAATAACAAATTTTTATAAAAATATATACAACGTTTATTATCGAACAAAAACACTTTTTAATATTTTAAAATAGAAAAAAAAAAATGGAAAATTCATTATTATTATTATTACGTTAAACGTTTTAATTTTATTTTAATCATAGAGATCAATTATTATTATTATTATTATCGTGTTAAAAAAAAAAACGATATTCAATTCATTTAAAGTACTAATAATATTATTATTTTGTATGAGTGCTAATTTTTATTTACAGGTTTCTCTTGTTTTTTAGTCTTATTATTATTATTATTATTATTATTATTATTATTATTATTATTATCGTTTTGGGTTAACATAATTATTTGGTTAAAAAAAAAAATTACTAGTGAGTTGATATGCTTCCTTTTTTTTTTTTCTGTAATTCATTCATTCATTCATTCATTCATTCATTTGTCGGTTATCACGATGATCCAAATTCGTTCATCCATTTATCGTACCTGTCTAAATCTTCTTTCGATACGGATTTGTTACATTTTTCTAATGCTTCTATAAAATCTTGCATGGTCACGGGTAAATCCAATTCTTCTTTCGGTAACTGTTTTATTTGATCCGGACGTAATCCGGCAATTTTCCTTCTCATCGACATCATTGACGCATCTCTGCACACGTTCGTTATATCCGCCCCTGTGGAAAGTAAAAACAATTGTAAGAAAAAGCAGCTTTAGAGGGATATAGAAGATGAGATGAACCTGTCGTATGTTCGTACCTGAATACCCTTCCAATTTTTTTGCCACTTGTATTAAATCCACGTTATCATCGACTTTCACATCCCTTAAATTGATTTTGAGCAATGCTTCCCTTCCGGTTCTCGTTGGTAACGGTATGTAAATTCTTTTTTCCAAACGTCTTCTGAGTGCTTCGTCAATATCCCATGGAAAATTCGTAGCTGCGAGAACCATGACTATTTTACCCGGTTCTTCTCTGTAACGTTTTTTAGAATTAGAATTATGTCCTCTACCCCGGAGCATACCAATTTGAAATAAGTTTTTAAAACTCACGCATTCGAACTTATTCCATCCATTTGTACAAGTAATTCGGATTTGACTCTTCTAGATGCTTCGTGTTCGGATTCTGATCCCCTCCTCGAGCACAACGAATCTATTTCGTCAATGAAAATTGTACTCGGAGCGTAAAATCTCGCCATTTCGAATAATAACCTAACGAGTTTTTCAGATTCTCCCCTGTATTTCGACGTTAGCGTTGACGATGACACGTTAAAAAATGTCGTGCCGCATTCCGTGGCCACTGCTTTGGCTAACATTGTTTTTCCCGTACCTGGCGGTCCGACCATGAGCACTCCTTTCCAAGGCCTACGAATCCCTTTGAAATAATCGGGCATCCACATGGGTAGAACGACAGCTTCTTCGAGTAAACGTTTTGCTTCTTGTAAATCGGCTATATCGTCCCAATGAATGTTTGGATTTTTCTGAACGATGTCTCTCTCTGCAAAAAAAAAAAAACGTTTCAAATGTTTATTTCCGGTCGAAAAGTAATAAGTCTGAACAATTTCATTTTTAGGTCTGATGAAAATAATATCTTACCAATCATTTCAACCAAATCTCCATCGTAACCAGAACCTTCGAATTTTCTTTCCACAACTTCTTCATCCTTTTCTTTTTCCTTACCATCCTTGTCGCATTTTTCCGTTTTCTTATCATTTTTCTTATCCGAACTTTCATTTTTAACGGCACTTCTAATCGTTCTACCGGATTTCATATCGATTTTCTTACCGGTCATTTGACCAGATTTTTGATTTTTTTTTTGTGCTTCGCTTCTCCGATCTATAGTCCTAGAATTTCTAGAATGAGAATTTGTTCTGTGATCTGCTATGGTTGGAGAATTCCAAATGTCGTTTTCCCTAGGGGGAGGCGGAGGCCAAACATCAGGATCTCTTAGAGTATTGTTAAACCAAGCATTTGGATCTTTGGTAGGTTCTTCGAATGCAGAATTTGTAATGTTAAAAGCTGTTCCTCGAATACCCCTCTCAATGTTTGAATCGATTTTGAATAATTGCAATGTGTTTACAAGTTCTTTCACCTGTTCATATTCTTCTGCAATTTCAGATTGAACACTTTGCCATTTTGATTTTCTTGTAGGTTCATCTATGGTAAAAAGCAGTCTATGAATTTGTTGAATGACTCCCTGATAGTAAACCCCTGACGACTCATAATTTCCCATTAGGGCCATTTCTCTGGCTAGTTTGGTGTTTTCGCAAATTTCATTTATGCTTGTAGCCATTCCAACTTCTTAAACAATAAATAATGATAATGATAAAAAATTAATGATAAACATTTTCATTTAAAAAATACAAATAAAACAGATTGTGATTGATTCGATTAAGTAATATAAACAAATTATCTTTAACCATATGACTCACTATTCGTATTAATTGCTTTTTTTTTTTTTTTTTAAATTTATTTTTAACAGGTCAACAACATTGACAATAATAATAATAAGACATAAAAATTTTCAAGGACATATTTTTAAAATTTTTCAGGCTTATTTACTAATATTGATTTGTGAAAACAATTTCATTCATTAATTTTATTTACCTTAATTGTTAAAAAATTTTTGTTTTTTTTTTTGTTCGAGTTTTGTTTAAATTAATTCTAAAGCATGTGTGTATGTATAAAAAATAAAAATAAATAAATAATAATAATAATAATAAATTATTTTTAAGTAATCGACAGATGTAATTATTATTTTAATGAGTAAATAAAAACTTGATGAAATTATTTGTTGGATTTTTTGTTTTTTTTTAAATTGATTACACAAAATTTAAACAATAAATAAATAACTGTCAGGTTAAATATGTAAGCATATGTTTTTATGTAATTTAATGTAATCAATACAAATGTAATTGATAAGGGGTAACCCCCCCAAAAAAAAAAAAAAAAGAACAAATTTTCTTTTTTTTTTTTTTTTTAAATCTATAAAAAATGATTTTAATTAAAAATTAATAAAAAAAAAAATTTTTTTTAATTGTTTTTTTAATAATATGTATTTATATTAAGGTAAATAACATGGTAGAAAGGATGATATTAAATAAAAATAAACCATTGGATAAAAATCCATTTCCGGTTATGAAAATCTAACAAAGATTAATCTTGTATTCTCCTGCATTTGCTTATAAAACTAACGTTTTAACGGGATTAGGTTATCGAATATAAAAAAAAAAAAAGAGAGAAAAGAGAAAAAAACAAAAAACTGTTTAATTTGTGTGTAAGAAAAAAACAAAATATTGTTTTGTTTGAAATTTTTTTTTTTTTTTTTAAGCTAATGAAATAACTTACGAGTTTGGTCGATAAAACGCATGTATAAATGTGGTATTATAAACTCAATGCGATATTTAAACGAAAACAAAGCATTATTCTTTGTTACAGCTGCCACGCATTGGACATATTAGAATTGGCTGACTGGTGCTGGCGTTGAGCGCAATTATTGCGGATAAATTTCGAACTAAAACCTTCATGTATACGTAATATTTTAGATGCTATTGATTCCGCGCTTCCGTAACGAAAAATAGTCCTCGTTTAATCGGATATTTTAGTGAGTATAATAAAAATAATATAATAAAAATTTAAATACATATAAAATAAAATAATTAAAACGATGAGAAATATTTTTAATTAATATAAAAAAGATTTTTTGTATAAAGTTTTTTGTTGTCGTTAGTGTCGTGTAGTAATACAATGAAAGTAGTCCGCGAAATAATGGCTAGCGTTTATGAAGTGATGTGTCTGTTTTTTTGGTTAAAAATGCCCATATAAATGACATAATATTGAAATATAATGTGATTCAGTGAATAATGGAAACATTGTGGTTTATGAATAATATGTCTTTAAAAGATTTCGGTATAACGTAAGCTTGTATTCTGATGTATTTGTCGAGTAGGGGTGTTGGCGAGGACTGTGGCAAATATGGCCGCGACGCAAGCCGAGAATCAACCAAATGAAGTGAATAGCGATCCGGTGCCTCGCGACCATCCTACAGACCTCAATAATTCTGGTTTACAAAATGGAACAGACAAAAATGGAGGACGCGGTACCATCGGGTCGGATAGTGCAACGGTAAATGTTAAAGCTAAATCTCCTGGGCAAGGCAGCCACCCCGAAATGAGTCAATATCGTCCTGAGCTCTCTTCCGCACAGCCTCTGCCTAATAACGAGCCGCACGGGAATAGTGTAGATAATGCGGGAAAAATTCACGACGGTAAAACTCCATATATTCATCCAAACGATCCGGGTTCTTTAGGTCAAGGGGATCCTAATTATAAGGTTCCAGACGGTGGACCTCCTTTACAAAACTATTACGGTCGTGGTGGTTACCATCATGCCCCATCAGAACAACATAATCCAGGCAATCCTCAATCAAATAGTAACGATTCAAGTGTTAGCCCTATTTCTCAATATAACCAATATAATAGTCCTCAAATGAGGCACGCGTATAGTGGTGGAGGTAAGGGTATGCCAATGGTTTCACCAAGAATACCAAATGCAAGCAGTAATTATGGTCCAGGACCTCAGAGATTTTTATCCGGACAAAGTATATCGCAACAAGCAGGTCCAACACCGACATTAAATCAACTGCTTCAGTCGAATCAACCCCAACATTACCAAAACAGTTATGGGGATTTTCCTATAAAGGATCAAAGTTACCAGCAATGGGGACCTCAGCGTCCTCCTACTAATTACAATCCCCAAGTACCTGGAGCAACACCATATAGAAGTCAACATCATGTAAGTGTTAGACGAGTTTTATTTTTTACTTGCATGTTTTGCCTGCTCGCTCATTTTTAAAGAAATATTATCGATTGTCCCTCATGAACTTTCTTTTTCTTCATTTCGTAGTTTGAAAAGAACTATGGTATCTTGTAAATGATTTTTATGATATGCTTATGGCCTAAAATGAAATTCCAAAGTATCTTTAAAATATCATTATCATATTTAAAAGCAATATAGTAACCACTCGTTTAAAATTTATTCAAGTTTTTTATTTTTATACTCGATAGTTGATTATTAAAGCTTATATGAAAATTAAATTTGACCCTGAACACATACTGGCTTTATCTCGAATGTAAATTTTCATACCATCCCAACATGAATTGTCACTATAGGCAATCTTCAAGCAAAGGGGGGGGGGAAGAAATTCTTATTTCGAATTATTCGATACAAAAAATATTAATTTTTCCACATATCGAGTAGTCTAACTTTTTCATATTGATTTATACAATAATTTGTGTACTTATTCGAAAAAAAAATAATTTTTAAAAAAAAAACAAAAAAATTTTGAACATTCTCAGAAATGTAGAACTTTTATATTGTTCAATGAGAAGTGAAATGTTATAAAAATCATGTGTGGTTGATGCATTTAAAATTTGTATTTTTAAAATGCATGAAAGCAATTTTTTTTTTTTTATGACTTACACATTTCATTTCTGTGGTAATTGTTTCAGGGGGGGGCGGGGGGTGGGGTTTCAGAAGGAGGAGTGGAGGTGGAGGGGAAGGGGGAAAAGGGAAAGGAAAAATACCAATGATTTTTTTTTTTACTTTACTTTACTTTACTTTTAATTTTTCATTAGAAAGACATTTTTTTTTCTTCTTCTTCTTCTTCTTCTTTCTCCATGCAATCAATATTCGATAGATTTTTTTAAAATTTGATTTCCAAGACATAATTTCACATGCATATTATTATTATTATTATTTTTTTTTTTTTTCAATCAGGAGTAGCAGTTAAAATCATAAACAATAAATTTCTTTCTCTCTCTTTTTTTTTTTTGCATTAAACGTTTGTTTGTTTGTTTGTTTTTTTATTGTTTTGTGTTGTTTGTATTTGTTTGTTTGTTTGATTAATATAATTTTTTTATTTTTAGAGATGTAAGGTAAGTTGAAAAAAAAATTATTATTATTTTTTCGTTTCTTTTTTTCAATTTCTTTAGCAACAGCAACAGCAGTAGCAGCAGCAAAATTATTTACTTATTTAAATTTTAATGTGATTATTTACAGCATTAATTATTATTGTGGTTGTTGTTGAATTGTAATAAATTATTATTATTATTATCACGGTAAGACTTGGGAAGTTTTTTTTTTTTTGGCGTTTGAAATTTCTGCATTGAAACAAGTCTAAATAATGATAATAATGATGATGATGGTAATTTTATTCTTAGAAAGCTCTTAACTTTATTTTTTTATTTTTTAAGTTTAATGTACGCCATTACCATTTGCATATGAGTAGTATTGTATGTAAGTTGTGAGAGAGAGAGTGAAAATATGGCGGATGTATAGTTCAAAAATGAATTTTAGTTTTGGGAAATGTGCTAAAAGGGAAACACGGTGAAACTATGGCGGCAGCATAAAATGTTGCGAGTTGAATATGTGCATTGTATGTAAGAAATTACTGGAAAATTAACATGGATTCGTTTGCGTTTCGAATGAAAATTTTCCAAAAATTATTAATTAATTGATAAATAATCACGGAATGGATCTCGGGGGAGAGAGAGGGGGTCGGAGGGGGGGAGGGGTTTATTCCATTCAATCTTTGTTTTATTATAATTTTTTTTAATTTTTTTTATTTTTTGATTTTTAGCCGTGGTTGTTGTTATTAAATGAAAGGATTGTTTGTTGTATGTATGCTTGCTTGCTTACTTTTTTTTTCAATCGATCGTTTGTTGTTTTCCTTTTTGCAAAAAAAAAGAAATCGCTAATCGATAATCAATCGAATTGTTTTTTTTTTTTTTTTATATATTTAATTTAAAATTTTAATTGCTTCATTTTGTTTTTGTTTTGTTTTTTCTTTTCTTTCTTTCTTTCTTCTATTCTTTTTTACTTCAGGCTTTTATTTTTATTTTATTTTTGAATAGAAACTTTTTTTTCTGTTTTTTATTGTGTGCAAAAGAAATTTGAACAAAAAAAAAAAAAAAAGAAAAAAACAAATAAGCAAGCGAGCAAACAAACAAACAAACAAACAAGAGTACGAGGAAAGCAAAAATAATCAAATTGAAAATTTTGAAAAAGGAAAAAAAAAAAAAATTTTTTTTTTTTATTTAATTAAAAAAAAATTTTCTCTTTTTTTTTTTATTGCATTTAAATTTGGTGGATTTGAGTTTTTGTGGCGAAGGATAAAGTCGGGGGTTGGGGGAAGGGAAGGGAAGGGAAAACGTAGGGAAAGCAAAAGGGGGAGGAGAGGAGGGGGAGCAGGGGGGGGGTGAGGGAAAGGGATTTTTTGTATTTTTTTTTTTTTTTTTGGAAAAGGCTGTATGGAAAAGAAAAGACATTTAAATAATTGATTCTTTAACCATATATTGTTGGTTAACAAAGTCATGTTGTTATCGGTCTTGACCTTACTCAATAACATTTACAAGCCTATGAGTTGTTGTGTGTTCCCTGACCTTGAACGGAATTGACAGTTATTTTTATCTCTTTATTTATGAAAATAAATTGAATGAATAGTTTACAAGTAGAAAAAAAAAAGAAGGAGAAGAAAGAAAGAAAGAAAGAAGAGAAAAAAAGAGTGAGAGAAAGAGAAAAAAAGAGAGAGAGAGAGAAAGAAAGAGAAGACAGACGTAGAGAGCGAGGGAAACGAACGAGAGAGAGAGAGAGAGAAAGATGGAACGCGAATATACAAAATGTTCGGAAGTGGGAAAGAATTGAATCGTCGTTGAAATTTTGTGTAATGCGTTTGTTTTTTAATAATAATAATGATAATATTAATAAACAAACGTAAACAAACGATGTTTGTTTTTGTTTTGTTTTTGTTTTTTTCGTGAAAACTTTTTTGAAAAAAGTTAAATAATTTTTTTGTGAGAATTTGTGTAATTTGTAGGGTTCGTTCGTTCTTTCGTTTGTTTGTTTGTTTGTTTGTTTATTAGTTGTTTGGGTTTTTGACCTTTAAAACGATTTCATGACCTCCGCGTAAAAGGTTAATTGAAAACATCTTATCAAAAAAAAACTGACACGGTTAAATTTTTAAAATTTTGAAAATTGCTCGGGATGACTGGGAGGGGAGTGGAGGGGAGAGGGAACACTCTCGAAGAGGGGGGGAACGTTGTCACGAAACCTTTTTTTTTTTTTTTTTTTTTTTTTTTTTTTTTTTTTTTTTTTGAACTCCCGTGCATTTTGAATTTGTCGAACGCGGGCCCGATGCGTATCGTCGTTATTTTGCCGACGTGGTTCTAGACAACACTACATTAATTTAAGGTCCCATCACTACATTAATTAATTTTTTTATTATAATCGTTATGATAGTTTTTTTTTTTTTTTCTCCGAAGGGTTGGCAACACTGATTCCGCGCTTCGCTTAAATACTGCTGCTGCATAAAAAAGATTTGTTTTAGCGATCGCTTATTGATTTCGCGTGGTTATTGTTACCGTCGCATTATTATTATTATTATTATCATTATTATTTTTGTTAATTTATTTTCTGTAGCCAAGTCACGAGTTAATTTTTACTCGCATCTCGTCGACAGTTTTAGGTCAAATCGGTGAAGAAATAAATTCTGTTTCTCTCTCTCTCTCTCTCTCTCTCATTCTCCGTCTCTGCCGTCTGTCTGTCGTTGTTTTTTTATTCCGAATTTTTTTTTTTTTTTTTTTTTTTAACGAATGTGCCAATTTTTTTTTTTTTTTTTTTTTCTCTAGAAAATTATTGCTATAAGGGAAAAAAAAAAAAAAAAAAAAAGAAAGAAAAATTCAATTTTTACAAATGAGTATACGTGGGAGTAGTAGAATGCAAGAACGAGGATCGAATCGAACGAGTTCGACTCGTTCTTTCGATTTGAAAATTTGCTAAAAGGAAAAAAAAAAAAAAAATGGAGAAATTGGAGAAAATTAGTTATCGTATACGATAACTAATTTTAAAAACGGAGTGCCGCGAAAAATAATAATAATGATAATAATTTTTAATCGATTTTGCCCCGTTTTTGTCGGGTCGGGTCAACAGACAATCTCCGAATGTGCGAAAGCACACCACCCTTTTTCATATCTCTCTCTCTCTCTCTCTCTCTCTTTCTCTTTCTCTCTCTTTCTTCCTTTGTCCAATACCTTAAAAGCGTTTCCTTTTAAAAAAAAAAAAAAAAAAAAAGTAATTTTTTAAAAGTGGATAAACGTTTAAAGTTGTCGTAATTAATTGACCGTCCAACCGGTAAACACATTCCGCCATTTCTGCATTCTTAACGTTTTTTTTTTTTTTTAATTTGTTCCCCCTCACCTCCTCCCTCCCATCCTTCCTTTCCTTCATCTCTCCTCTCTCTCTCTCTCTCTCTCTCTCTCTCTCTCTCTCTCTTCGTTTTTTCTTGTATACATCATCGTCGATGTTAGAGCCTGAAATTTTTTAATGTTAAAATAACGGTAAATGAAACTTCTTTTCTTTTCTTCGAAATCATTAGAGAATTTGCGAAAGCGTTTTTTTTTAAACTACTTTTGACGATCAGCTGAGATTTTTTTTCTTTTTTTTTTTGGGGGAGGGGGGAGTAGGTTTCATGTTCAAAAAGATTCGGGGGAGAAAAAGGCGTTTTAAACGTTGGAGAAAAGGGAGGGGGAAGTATTTATTTTTCGCTTCTATTTTTCCCATCTCCGAGTTCGCACTGGTTTTCGATTATTTGATTCCTCCACCCCCACCCCCACCCCAATTTATTTCGTGTTTATCGTCGAACTATATATTTTCGATTCGATACTTTTTTTTTTTTTTTCCTTTTTCGAGGTTTTCGCGGAAAAATGAATTGTCTCGCGATGACGATCACGTTCGCACAATCCTTTTATCGATTCATTATTATTATTATTTATGGATTTTTTTTTTATTTTCTCGTGTGAAATGATTTTTTGGTTTGTGGTGAAATAATAAGAAACGGGGAAAGTCGACACAATTTGTGTCAATTAATCGAATTCGTGGGAATAGAATCGAAGATGATGTTATTTCTTCTAGTTAAATTTTAACTTTATTGCAATATTTATTTCGTAGGAAAAAAAAAAAAAAGAAAAAGAAATTTTGTTTTTACGTTTTTTCAATTAATTTTGATTTAAGAACCGGGAAAAGAAAGAAAGAAAACAAGTTGGGACGAATCGTAATAATTCGTGTTTTAAGTTTTTAT